TTCCTATCAAATATTTTCCAAATTCAGTTTATAGATGTCAGGAGCCATTGTTCAAATTGCAAAATGAGATATAATATGACAAAATGAGATTTTTTAGCATATTTTCTTCCAGAATACTTTTAAGGCCTCTTAAGCAGGCCTTACATGAAGATTTTTAAAGAAACAGTGAGTGCTGTGTTCTTTTCTGTATTACATCTTTACTGTCTTCTAAATATGAAATTATCTCAACTCTTCTTTAAATTTTCTATTTATCATAGTAAGTCTCAAGTATAACTAATATTTAGTAATCTTCGCTTACTATTTTTGACTGACCACCAATGAAACTTTTCTATTTTCTTTATCCATTTGGCAGTTTTTATTTATTTATCAGTCCATTTGCAGTGGAATATATGTGGTTACTACTAGCCTTCAAAAGTTGGCCATATAACACATACTTCTAACTGTACAAGAGGTATAGGTAGGATTGTGGTCCAAGGCTGGCCCCTAGCAAAAGTACAAGATCCTATGAAAAATAACTAAAGCGAAAATGGATGAGAACATAACCTAAGCAATAGAGCACCTGCCTAGCAAACACGAGGCACTGAGTTCAAACTCTAGTAGTGCCAAAGGGGGAAAAAAATGGCCAAATACATCATAATAGACACTATCTCTCTGAATATCTGCTAAATGTGTTCTCTTCAGTTGAACTGTGAGGGAGAGGGAAGTTGCCTAAACACATGAATTATTGGCTTGTATGAATTAGTTATTAGGAATATGTTTATTGTGTATATATTATATAGTACAATATATAATATACATGCACACGGTTGTGCATGTTCACACATACTATGTGTAAGTTTACTCTCTATTTTCATAGGCTGTGATTGTTCTGTGTTAGAAAGACACCTCTATAGCCCTTTACACAAAAGGATAGGCTCATCCCTATAATCCTAACTACTTGGGAGATATAGGAGAATCAGTCCAAGGCTGGGCATGGTACTTTACATCCTAGCTGTATGGGAGACACAGAAAGGAGAATCACAGTTTAAGACCATCCTGGACAAAAAAGCACACCCTATCTGAAAATAACTAAAGAGGAAAGAGCTGGAGTGTGGCTCAAGTGGTAGAGCACCTGCCTAGAAATCATAAGGCTCTGAATTCAGACCCCAGTACTGCCCCAAGTACTGCCTGTGTTCACTGCTTTATCATTTGCAATAGTTTATTTTATGCCTTATTGTGCTTTGTGATTTCTAAGTGCTTCAGTCTTGATTTTTTTGCTTCTTTACATTTTTGATTATTACATTTTGACTGTTAAGTAAAATGTGCCAAACTATAAATCGGAAAGATTCATTTCTTTGACTAAATATAAAGGTTAGAATGTGTTTTCTCAGTGGGAAAATGAATAAAGAAAAAAAGTTGAAATTTGTGCACAGTCTAGATAATGACTCTGAACTTAAGTATAGAATAAGCTGTAAGGAAGTAATTCTGCTGAAGCATGTATATCTCAGGAGTATTATTTCTGAGTGAGCAGCCTAGCCATGCAGTCAACATCAATTGAGGTGAGTATCATTTGTTTCCTGCCAAATACTAAACACCTAATATGTGTTCTAATCATATTTCCTCCAACTAAAAACTGCAGTAGACATACAGGAAGTTATTTGCACATAAAGTATTTGATATCACAAGTGTGCATTTTAGATCTGATCATACAGTGTATAGTTTCTAAAGTCATATCTAAATAATTCATATCTTTTTATCTTCATGTAAGTTTCATCAGGTTATTTTCTTAGGAAATTCTGTCTTAGATGAAATATAAAATGTAGAATCTGTGTGTTTGCATTTGGTACATTGGAGTGATAGCAAGGATTTATTCATTTAAACAGCAAATACAGATAATCAAACTCCTTCAAATATATCCAACTGAGTATAACTAGGCAATGTGTGATTAAAATCTTATATCATCTAGTCTTGTGTGAGGTCACTGAAACCTGTTGTTACAAAACCTGTTTTATCCCATTCTCCTCAGACTTTGAATTGATACAGGTATGAGATTGACAGCTGTCAATTCCATAGCACAGTTAGAAAGCTATTGAGAAATGTCTTAGATCGTTTGCATTGAGACTGGAATACACTTAAAGCAGCCATTGTTGCTAACACGAATGGGAGTGGAGTGCTTGCTGGTGGCTCATACCTGTAATCCTAGCAACTAAGGAGGCTGAGATCTGAGGACTATGGTATGAAGCCAGCTAGAAAGTCTGAGACCAAAAAAGACAAAAGTGGGGCTGCAGAAGTAAGGCTGCGGCTCAAGTAGCAGAGTGCTAGCCTTGAGCAAAAGAAGCTCCAGGACAATACCCTGAGTTTAAGTCCCAGAGGGGCTGGAAAAGAAAAAAGGAGGTCTTGCTGTATAGCTTATGCTGGCCTCCAACTCATGCAGCTCCTGCCCCAGCCCTGAGTGCTAGGATTACAGTCAATGCCACCAGATCTACCATGCTTTTTTGTCAGTCCTAAATGTTATCAGCACTATTAAAAATTTTTAATTTGCACTAAATGTCTTTTTAAATATTCTTAAGATATATGATCTATAAAGTTGAAGATCTGATATAATAGCTATAGTTTTTGCAAGATATTAAATTTGTAGCAACTTTTCAGTTTCTCTGTGCACTGCCAATGGTGTGAAGATGGCAAACCTTAAGATGAAATGGTGGTTCTAGCCTTGGAAAGCTGAGTGTATTCTCTCTACTAAGCGTCCGCTTGAGTGATTGCCACCGGGCAGTGGCAGGATTTCTGTTGAGATATTAGGGGCTAAGAAGGGAAGGTGTCCTCTCTCTTGGAAAATAAATACTACAGTGAGAACAATTGTATAGGAAGTACATAGAGCAAGGCAGGCTGTAGAATAAAAAGTTGAAGATAGATATTTTAAGACCATACTTAGGCATTAGTCTTTTTCTTAAGTAGGAATTCATCAGTTAACACAGTCATTTTCTGGAAAAGTTTTTGAATACTTTCCTGAGATACTTTTCTTCCAACGTCTCCTCTTAAAAGAGTTATTTAGTCATTTTAACCCTTGAAATTTATATACAACTTTTCTGCCTTTGCTATTTTTCCCTTTGTAAAATGCCCTGTCAACTTTTTTTTTTTTGCTATTTAATACTTGAAAAGATAAGAACAAAATAAATGCATATGATGCCAAGTTCTCAATGAAAACTTCCACCTAGCGGGATGTGGTGTCACAGACTATGCCACTAGTCACAGTGAATCCCAGCACTCAGAACACTGAGGTGGGAGGAGCAGGAGTTTGATGCCAGCCTAGGATGCACAGTTAATTCCAAACCAGCCTGCGATACATAGAGAGACCTTGTTTCTAAATAAATAAAAATCTTTTAAAAGATTTCTAAAACAATAAATGGGAAGAAGACAGCTATCTTCTCCTTTTTCTTTCTCTGTCCTCTTACCCCTTTCCCTGCTTCTATCCTTCCTTTCTGGCTTAGTTAACCCCTTTCTTCAATGCTCTTTCTTCGGGGCATGTTTTCTGGCTTTCTTCATATCTGAAGTGAAGCAGAAATTGTGAATATTAAATTTTATATAATATATATAATTGTAACAAGAAATGATGCCTATGTTTCTTCTCAATAATGTCTACAAAAGCTATGCTGCAGAACAGACTTAATGCTCAATGCATCCTTGGAACTCTTACATGGAAGTATATAATATCACTTGTTGAGGAAGTCTACTATAAATAGAAATCCATTCAGTTCTGATGCTTGTGAAGAAACCATAACCACATCTTCACTTTCATGCTCAGCATGCCCTTTACCTCAGCCACAAATAGCAGGAACTGTCTATCATGCTGGACTGTGCATTGAATTATATAGTGGTTACTCTTTTCACTTTGAAATAATTCTTATTTTGTACTTAGTTATTAACTTAAGGAAAATTAGTTCCACTTGCGTGGGAGGCCTTTGGCATCAGAAATGGCAAGGATTAGTTATGATCGTGATCATCATCAACCATCAGCTGTGGCCTACAGCACTATCTGAGTCAGCCAAAGCCTTGTTTTACTCATAGGTAGAGATAAAAGGCAATACTGGGGGCTGGGACATGGCTCCAACTATAGAGCATTTTTCTAACATTCATGGGTTTAATCTGTGCTTCAAAAAAAAAATCAATGTGTATGCATTGTCTACACTAGACATATTATTTTACCTGCATTTACTAACACATTTAATTCTTACAAGCTCCTTTTTGTGATTAATTGGGAATGATAGTCTTATAGACTTTCCTTCCTAGGCTGGCTTTGAACTTTGGTCCTCATATCTTAGCCTCCTGAGTAGAATTACAGCCATGAGCCACTGGCACCCAGCTAGGTATTTTGATTTTTAGGCCAAAATATTTTCAGATCTTAGGCCTGATAATATTCTGTGTGTTGGATCTTTTTACCCACCCCTGGCCCTTAGGGCTGTAAGGTAGAGCTAGTTTTTTTTGTTTGTTTTTGTTTTTGGTCCGGTCGTGGGGCCTGAACTCTGGGCCTGGGCACTGTCCGTCAGCTCTTCAGCTCAAAGCTAGCTACTTTACCACTTGAGCCACAGCACCATTTCCAGCTTTTTTTTCCTGCTTATGTGGTGCTGAGGAATCGAACCCAGGGCCTCATGCATGTAAGGCAAGCGCTGTACCACTGAGCCACCTTCCCAGCCCCAAGGTAGAGCTAGTTCTGAGCCCTGTTCTTTCACTTGCAAATAGCAATTCAGTCAGTCATCTATAGGAGTTCTCCCAACTCTGAATCTAAACTGAATATAACTTGAATATGTAATTATTCATGTTAAAGTTTCCTTCAGTTGACTCTGACAGTTTATTTCTTTAAAAAACAAAGTCTCATGTGCACAGACAAGGCCATTGTCTCAAGCATCTTGGGGGGAGGCTGTGGGGGGTGGGAGACATGAAAGTATGCTGTCACATAGTATGTCCTTTGAACAGTTACCCTTGCTGGCCTAAGGAAAGGTAAGCTTTTGCTTTTCCCTTACCAGATGTCAATGCCTCAGAATCTCCAAAGAATGTGGGAGAATCATCTATAGTGAATGGAGCCTTATCATCACAGACAAAAGAAAATGGGCTCAGTGCCACCCAGCAGGCACCTGTGCAGCGAAAGAAGCTCCTCAAAGCCCCCACCCTGGCGGAGCTTGACAGCTCGGACTCTGAGGTGAGGCTCTGACTCAAGTTCTCAGCCAGTACCCACAGCTGCTGCTTCGTCTCTTCCCATGTTTTAACCTTCAAGACCACAATTAACTTGAGATTAACTTGCACGATAGAAAGTCAAGCAATATATTACTACTTTTAGTATCAACCTGTATGGTAGATAGTTTATAGAATACAACAGAGAATTGATCCCTCCTATCTTTTACCTGATACAGGGGTTGACTTGGTAATCTTCACGTCTCCTCTGGAAATTGGCAGCTCTTCCCCAGAAATGTAAAATTGGAAAAGGCACTGAGGAATCCTGCCTTCCTAATTTTCTAGAAGGGTATTCTTCTTCCACTTTCAGCCCATTCCTTCATTTATTTTGGTTTTGGGGAGTGAGTAACTAAGATTGGTTTACTTCTGGTTATGTTTGCTATCTAATAATGGCAGCAAATATGGCTGTTAGATATGTCCCATATCACATTATGCAGACTAACATTCATGTTTTTAATAATTTTTATTCCCTCTGTCCTAACATATTTGTGTGTGTGTGTGTGAATGACTGTCCTGGGTCTTGAACTCAGGGTCCAGGCACTGACCCTGAGCTTTTTTGTTCAAGGCTAGAGGTCTACAACTTGAGCACAGCTCCACTTCCAGCTTTTTGGTGGTTAATCAGAGATAAGATCTCACGGACTTTTCTGCCTGGGCTGACTTTGAACCACAGAACTCAGATTTCAGCCCCCTGGGAGTTGCTAGGTTTATAGGCTTGAGCCACTGGCGCCCAACTTTAACATATTTTTTTATCCTCTTCCTATTTGTTCTCTTCATCAGTTTTTTTCCAGTCAAATATTTACTGAATGTTTTCAACAAGAATTAAAGAAGTAAAGGCAGAAATATTAATCTTTTGCCCTCTAGTTGTTTATAATTTAGGAAATAAAATCCATATATCTCAGAATTATTAGAAGTGTTTAGTGAGCACTATATTAGGGTATGTGACTAAACACTGCAGAAGTTCAGGGACTTCAGCATCCAGAGGGGCTGGAGAAGCCTCAGTTTGAGAATTTGGGGTATGTGGAAGTAGAGATGTAGCTCAAGAGGTAGAGTGCCAGCCTAGAGTGAACAAACCAAGTGCGAGCACAAGCCCTGAATTTCAGTCCCAGTACTGGCTCACAGACCAACCAAAAAAATGTATTTGAGAAATTGGGGTGGAGGCATCAGACAGGCAGAGGGGGATCACATCATTCGCTCTGCTAGCCAGGTTTGTCCTGCAGTGAATCTTCCCCACAGTATCAGATTCCACAGTATCCGGTGGCTCTGCTGATTGACCAAGTGAATTCCCAAGTAAGACTGCACAGTCAACACTCAGGGCTACAGAAACCAAATAAAGGGATATTGTGAAGAAGTCTGACCCTTCTTTTTTTCCTTCTCTCAATTTTTATCACCAACTTCCTCATTTCTCCTCCTTCCCTCCCAGTTATGGAGAGGCTTCTAGATCATTTTTGTAAGCAGTAAAACTTTTTCTTAAAGCAGACTTACACAGAAGTAGCATCCATCAGCAAGAAACAGAACTGGGCATCAGAGCCCTGACCACACACCACCACTACCGCTTCCCCATCTGCTAGGGCCTGGTAGAGCCTTGTACAATTCATTTTCCATCCTAAGAGGAAGTGTTCCACTAGGAAGTGGCAGCACTTAGCTGACACTGAGCTTTTTACCAGTGAGTCCCCTGTCTCTGATGCACCTTGCACAGGCCTCTTTGCTCACCCTCTGTGCTGCAGCCTTTGAAATGGCAGAAGGCCAAGCCAGAACCTCCCCTGGGGGAGGAAGCAGCAGCACTACAGCCCAGTCACTCCATTCCCTTCTCACATTAGGGCTAACAGGCAGGAGTGAATTTCTCCCTCATCAGACAGTCATCCAAGTGAGATGGTTTTTCTTAACGTCTCAGGAAATGTCTTCTAGCCACCACCAGACTCCTGTTGCACAAATCTCTACATGCATGATCTCATGTGTCTCATTAAATCTTTTAATGTTTTGTTTTTTTGTGCTAGTACTGGGACTTGAACTCAAGGTCTGGATGCTGTCCTTTAGATTTTTCCAATCAAGGCTAATAATGCTCTACCACTTGAGCTATAACTCCACTTCTGGCTTGTTGGTTTGTTTTGGTCAGTCGTGGGGCTTGAACTCTGGGCCTGGGCACTGTTCCTGAGCTCTTCAGCTCAAGGCAAGTGCTCTACCACTTGAGCTACATTGCCACTTCTGGTTGGAAATAAGAGCTTCATGGACTTTCCTGCCCAGCCTGGCTTTGAACTGTGATCCTCAGATTTCAGCCTCCTGAGTAGCTACAGGCGTGAGCCACCAGTGCCCAGTTTAGCTAACCATATTTTATTCGTTCAGTCCTTTCTTTTGGAACAGTTTGTTTCCAGTTTTCTGCCATTATAAATAGCAATACTGTTGTGGCACTCTTTTGTTAAATTTTTACAGACATTTGGTTCTCAGAATATTTCTAGAATTCCACTTGCTAAATGAAAGACTGCATTTTTTTTTATAGCTTTCGGTACATAGATACTGTGAAGTTTCTTAAAGGGAACTATAATAGTTGTTTTTTACAGTGCTAACTCTGAGCTAGACTTTACATATCAATTTCACTTTGCTAAAACATTAGAAAGTGGCTGTGGTCCTTATATAAAGAATAAGAGCCAGGTGCAGGTGGCTCACACCTGTAATTGAGCTACCTGGAGGCCAAATCCATAGGGTCTTAGCTTGAGACCAGTCTCGGCAGAAAAGTTCAATAGACTCCATCTCCAAAAATAACCAGCAAAAAGCAGCTAGAGGCATGGCTCAAAGATAGAATGCTAGCTTAGCAAGGACAAGGCACTGAGTTCAAATCACAGTATTCTCTCCTCCTCCCAAAGAAAAGGGAACAAATAAGGCCATTGTGGATTTTTTCCCCAAATCATACGATATTTCATTTTTACTTAAAAAAATAAGGGAACAGAAATAGTTGTAAATGATAGCATTTGTGACAGTCATATTGGAAACCCACATCTAACTCCAAAGTTATTTGTCCATAAACTTGGCAATATTTCAAGCAGCACTGGGTAAGAATTCCTGAATTAAAAAAAAATTAACTGAAAGGAGCCTAGAAATTTTGTCCACCATACTCATTTTCAGTGAGAAAACTAAGCCCCTAGAAAGGTAGAGACCAAGTTAGAAAAACCATCCACGATTTCACTAGACCTCCTATACTGGGTCTTTTGTCAGTTCCTAGAAATGTAGCTTCATAGTTTCTGGCTTATCTTCAGTCACTTTTCTTAGCTTATCTCAAGCAACTATATATATATACACACATACACACACACACACACACACACACACACACACACACACATAGTAAAAATACTGTATAGAGGGGTTACAGTTACATCAGTAGGGTAATGAGTACATTTCCTATCAAGCATTGTTACCTCCTCCTTTGTTTTACTCCTACCATCACTTCCCTTCGGTGTCCTGCATCTTATATATGCGTTTTTTATAATTTAGGGAGGAGAAGGGATATAACAAAATGCTGAAATAAGGATACAGGTTGATCCATTGTAACAGTGAGATGTACAAGACACTGTTGAAAATGAACTTTACAATTTCGGGGGCAGGGGAGAGGGAGGAGTTGGGGAAATAACTCTTTTTAAATAAAAGATTAGTTTTGGTTGTTGTGATACCCAGGCCTCTGGTAACAAAGGTAAGCAAAGGAGCTGGGTCTGAGACTTTCTTGGGCTTCTTTTTAGGAAAATAAGTGAGTTAGATTAAGTAACAGTGTCACCTGGGAGCAAAGGCAAGCTACAGGCAGCTCTCCTTCAGCCACAATTCTGAACTCAAAAAGCCTGATCTCATGAGTGATGGAACCATTCCTGCAATCAGCCAGCACAAGCAAGCAGATTTTAGAAACCAGGCTGAAGAAGAGACAATGAACCCCAGCCAGGAAAAAGTGGTCAGTAAGACAACAAGAATATAAAGACGCAAGTATACAATAAACCTGAGAGGGCACAGCTGGAATGCGAAGATCCCTGTGAGCACAAGTGCTTTCTGGCTCCATGCATCAGACTCTGAGCCTGACACCTTCTCATTTTCCACTTTTCCTTGGTATTTCAGTTGGTTAACATAGAACTATTGAAATTTTGTTTCCTTATTTAAAAATTCATTCTGACAGATTCAGAGAGCCATTTTTTTTTTTGCTTTCTTACAGAAGTAAATATGATAGCATTTTAAAAACAAGTTTTATTTTACAATCTAGTTCCATCTATGAATAAAGAAAAATCATGTGTTTCTCCCTTATCAGTAGCAGAGATAACCACGTGTAAATTAGACTTTGCTGAAGAATCTGGGAGGCAACCAGGTGCCGGCCCTGTTTCAGACAGCAGCAGCCACCTCATCAGATGATTATTAGGGGTGCTAGGAAAGACTCCTTTGTCTTCCTGAAAGAGAGTCTTGGCCCTTGGCTTATATTTCTTTTACCTTCTGACTTTCTATAAACAAAAGATTACTGTAATCACTTCTAAGATTTTTTTTGCAATTTTTATGGCCAACATCATATATGGGATAAAAGCTTTGTTAAATGCTTTATTGTGCTCCATGGTAAGTCCCAAAAGTGTAGCAATCGCTGTGGTTAAAATCTTCTTGTGTGTGTGTGTGTGTGTGTGTGTGTGTGCGCGCACACACGTGTGTCTGTATGCACGCACACACGCGTCAGTCCTAAGACTTGAACTCAGAGCCTGGGTGCTCTTCCTGAGCTTTTTTGCTCATGGCTAGCACTTTACCACGTGAGCCACAGCTCCACTTCTGGCTTTTTGGGGTGCTTAATTGGAGATAAGAGTCTCACAGACTTTCTTGCCTGTGCTGGCTTTAAACCGCAATCCTCAGATCTCAGTTTCCTGAATAGCTAGCTTTTTTATTTTTTTAAACTATGTGGTTTTGACTTGATCTTTTATATTGCAACTTTCTTGAGACTAATGATTTCAGTAATAGGTTAATTTAGGAGAGCCTAATTTTTAGTGATTGACTAATTCTTAAGACAACTTGGCTAAAAATATCAGAGAATTTTCACTATCTCCCATAGTCATGGATTAGCATATTTACTTAATTTTCTTCCTTCTATATTTAGAATTATTTAGTATTTTAGAAGTTTTATAGTGGCATGAACTTAAGTTTTCTTTTAGGTAATGTGTATCTCCTGTCACGAAGTAAGGCATTTAATGTGAAAATATTGTATCTCATTCAAACTTGGTAAAAAACTAGTATTCTCACTAGTATTAGAACCTTCCATTTTGCTTGGCATAGTGTAGACATGTTCATAGACTCACTGCCATTTCTGTAATGTTTACGTTTATCTATTCACTAATATTTTTACAGATAATGACACTGCTAACCAGATAATAGGTTTGGTTGTTAAGCATTTTGAATGCATTGTTTTCATTAATTCTTACAAACAACGAAACTCAGAAACCTGCTCATTGTCTGCTCACTCTACTGGGGCAAAGCTAGGACACAAATTCAGGCCTAATTTTAGATCCCTTGTAGTTCATTTTATTCTTGCCTTGAACCTTTGACATTATAATTTGTTGACTGTTCGATAGTAAAGGCGGTTGAATAATAGCATGGAAACACTAAAGTGAGGAAATCTCTCCTTCCTCAGGAAGAAACTCTGCATAAGTCAACCAGCAGCAGCAGTGTGTCTCCCTCTATTCTTGAGGACCCAGTACTAGAGGCCGTGTGCACCAGGAAGAGTGAGTATTGTGGTCCACAGCAAGCCAGAGCCCATACCTTACAAAATGCTCTTTGCCTACAAGATCTCCTGGTTCTCCTTTTGTCATTCGGGGTATAAAAAACTAACTCTGCTACAGGCATGGCTTACACAATGAAGCACTCACTTATTAGCAAGCTCCAAGTCTTGAGGACAAACTCAGTACCACGACAACTCAGTTATTTTCCTAGGCTGCATTCACAGCCTTAGGTTTTCTTAACTTGCAATAGATCAGATACACTCACGTTTGTGGATAACATATATAGATAATATAAAAATATGTCAACAGTGTATGCATGTGTTGTATTTATTACCTCCTTGTCTGAATTCAAGCTTAGAAGCCTAAGTAATTATATTCCAATCACCTGTCCCACCACACACACAACCATGCCCACGTAGATATAACTACTAAAAATCTGTATAACTCTTATGAAATGGTAGACTCTGAACACACATACCTAAAATTAAAGAATTTCTAAAGGCTTTTAGTAATCCTTTTCATTTATGAAATTATTAGATAGGATTGAGCATGAATTGTATATTAAGATATTCTTAGAATGTTGACTTAGTTGCTCATACACCAGAGAATTTAATGGTTAAAATTCTTTACATAGCATTTCAGTTACTTAAACAGATTATATCAAGAACAGTAACAGTTGGCTTGGGTTATTATCTATAATTAGTGTTTAGCCAGCCAGTTAAATATTATAGAGACCCAATTAAATAATGTAATGGATCTTTCAGGTTCTAGAAACTTCTCTCTCTCTCTCTCTCTCTCTCTCTCTCTCTCTCTCTCTCTCTCTCTCTCTCCCTTGTTCTCCCCCTCACCCCACTATTTTTTGGCTATGCTGGTGTTTGAACTCAGGGACTTGCACTTGCTAGGCCAATGCTCTACTGCTGAGCTACACTGCTAGCTCTTTGTCTTTTCTTGACTGTGCAATTTATGTCCTTTGTCTTCCTTTAGTGGTTTCTCTTGGTGGGATAATCCAAATATATGGATCCCACTTAACCTTAACTCTGACTTTCCTCCGGACTACTTCTAAGCAGTCAATGTTGAGTAGGAGGGAATACTGAATCAAACAGTGGCAGTATGTTTTATGTCTAATGTCTCCTTATGCTTTCAAAAGGGGAAATGCAGAACTATTCTCCTTTAAAACATCACAAGTGTGCATACTTTGGCAGCACATATACTAAAATTGGAGCAATACAGAGTTTATCATGGCCCTTACTCAAGGATGACACACAAATTCATGAAATGTTCCATGTTTTTAGGAGACTGAAATCTCCCCATATGTGTGAATCCCTGTGGAAAAACAATCACCAAGTTCAGGTCTTCCTCAAAAATCAAGTCCACTAAAAAAGGACTTAGGTGCTAGTGAAAAGACAGAAAATCAAAGCAGTGTATTCTGTAAAATGATGACAGGATTAGTCAATGAAATAAAAGAGACAATGTTTGAATACCTGAATGAATAGAAAGATCATATGAACAAACAACTAGAGAGCAAACAGATGAATGAAATAAATAAGGCAATTCAACATATAAAAGGGGAGTTCAATAAAGACATAGAAATCTTGAGGGGGGGCTGGGAAGGTGGCTCAGTGGTGGAGCACTTACCTTACATGCATGAGGCCCTGGGTTCAATTCCCCAGCACCACATAAGCAAAAAGAAAAAAGCTGGAAGTGGCACTGTGGCTCAAGTGGTAGAGCGCTCGCCTTGAGCTGAAGAGCTGAGGGACAGCGCCCAGGCCCAGAGTTCAGGCCCCACGACCAGACCCAAAAAAAAAAAGAAAGAAAGAAATCTTGAGGGGGGGAAATCAAATTAAAATCCTGGAAGTGAAGACTTCAATCACCAAAATCATTTTTTTTTTTTGACACAGTAATTCCACTTAGGTATTTTCTGGCTTTTTTATTTTTCTTGTGGGAGACTGGAACGCAAATTGGTTATCTGACACTTTATGCTCATTGGCAGGTATCCTACCATCTGATCAATGACTAACCCCTCAACTTAGGTATTTTCCCAAGAAAACTGAAGAGCTAAGTTTACAAAAGAACAGGAAGTTAAATGTACCTGCTTGATTCATAGTTGCTCCAGATGGGGAATATACAAATATCCTTTATTGGTGAAGAAATAGACTGCTTTCATCCATACAATGGAATGCTACTTGACAATAAGAAAAGTAAAATATTGATACATGCAACAACATGGGTAAAACTCCATTGTGTTACATAGAATATGCCACACTCAAAAGGCTACATGGTGTGATCCTGCAAGTAGGGCCTGAGGCTACAGGGACAGGAAATAATTCTGGAAAGGGATGGAAATGTTCTATATTTTGATTGTGGTGGTGGCTACAAAACTATGTTTTTATCAAAATCTATAGAACTATACACTAAAAATGGTGAATTCTAGGTCATTCTCATTTTAGAGATGACTTGCTTTCTGTATATTGAAAATGTATTTTTTCCTAAGAAACTTTCCTATCATTTTAATAAAAAGATGAGATCTAAGAATGCTGGGGGAGGGGAGAGAAATAAATTTTATTTTATACAAACTATACCTCAAGAAACCTGGATATTTTAGAATCTTATTGGTGAGCAGGTCATGGTTGTCATATTTATAATCTCAGCATCTGGGAGGCTAAGGCAAGAGGATCATGAGTTTGAGACCTGGACTACATACTGAGCCAACAGAACAAGTTCACTGGTAATCACAATTCTCAAAAGCAGAGACATGAGCCAGCTGCTAGAGGCTCATACTTGTAATCCTAGCTATTCAGGACCAAAATCATTTTTTAAAACTCAATCAAAGGTCTAGCTAATAGGGCAAGTTGGAAATAGGGTATCAGAGGTCAAAGGTAAGGCAGAGTAATTAGATGGGTCAAACATTTAAAAAACACTTGGAAGATATGAGTAGAATTACAAGATCTCTTGGACTCTAGCAAAAGATCAAACTTATAAGTCATTAGTATAGATAAAGGAAAGAAATACAAGCTAAAGGCATTGAAAACCTATTCAAAAAAGTAATAGCAGAAAACTTCCCCAGCCTCAAGAAAATGGTTATCATTCATATGGGAGAAGATTACAGAGCACCAAATAGGCAAGACCGGAAGAGAAACACCCCTAGATATTTAATAATCGCAGCACTAAATATACAGAATAAAGAAAGAATATTAACACCTACAAAAGAGAAGAGACAAACAACTTACAACGGCAGTAGATTTCTTCACACAAACTTTAAATGCAAAGGGGGCATAATACATAAATAAATAAAATACTGCCATGAACCCTGTTGAAATTGTTTTAAGAAGTGGGGACAGAGTAAGGGAGAGTGGTAGGGGAGTGAACTTGATTAGAATTCATTTGAACATGTGTGGGAATGTCACAAGGAAAGTCTCCCTTGAGCTAGAGAATCTCAACAGTTTGAGCACTTGCCTAGCATGAGCCCCAGCAGCATAGAAAAAGGAAAAGAGGGAGAGAAAGAGGAGGGAGGGAGGGAAGGAGAGAGGGAGGGAGGGAGGGAAGGAAGGAAGGAAGGGAGGGAGGGAGGGAGGGAGGGAGGGAGGGAGGGAGGGAGGGAAAAAGATGATGAGACAAAGGAGAAGAAAGGTATAATTGTAACATCAAAGCTGTTTGGTTGGGAGTTTTTTCAGTATGAAGCCTTAAGTCTAAAGACAAACTGTCTTAATAGACAAAGTGTTTTCTTATTTTATACTCATAAGAAAAAAAATGTAAAAAGAACATACACTTGAGAATTTTGGGAGTCTTATTGGCCATACAGTATACATATCTATATGTGGGTTTTTTTGGTTGTTGCTGTTTGTTTTTGTTGGTTGTGGGGCTTGAACTCTGTGCCTGGACACTGACCCTGAGCTCTTCAGCTCAAGACTAGTGCTCTACCATTTGAGCTACAGCACCACTTCCAGTTTTCTGGTGGTTAATTGGAGATAAAAGTCTCAAGGGACTTTCCTGCTTGGGCTACCTTTGAACCTTGGTCCTCAGATCAGCCTCTTGAGTAGCTACGATTACAGGCATGAGTCACTGATGCCCAGCTTCTTTATGTGTTTTTAAAACAATGTCTGAGACATGTGCTATACAGTTTGATCCATGACCTAACCCTTTTTTCCTGTCCCCGAGCTTTTTTGCTCAAGGCTAATGCTCTACCCCTGAACCACCATTTCACCTCTAGCTTTTTCTGCTGTTAATTGGTTATATAAGAGTCTCCTGAACTTTGTTGCTCAGGCTGGCTTCTGTGATCTCAGATCTCAGCTACCTGAGTAGCTAAGATTAAAGGTGTGAGCTGCCTGTTCCTGGCTTGGTTTTTTTTTGTTTTTTGTTTTTTGGGGTTTTTTGTTGTTGTTTTGTTGGTCATGGGGCCTGAACTCGGCCTGGTCACTGTCCTCAGCTCTTCAGCTCAAGACTAGCACTCTACCACTTGAATGACAGCACCACTTTTGGCTTTTTCTGCTTATGTGGTACTGAGGAATCGAACCTAGGGCCTCATGCATGCAAGGCAAGCGCTCTACCACTGAGCTATCTTCCCAGCTCCTTGTTTGTTTTTGAGGTAAGATTTCACTACCCTTTCTCTGGCTGACCTCAACTCTAAATCTTTCTGCTTCTGCCTCCCAAGTGTTACAAGCATGTTCCACATGCTCAGCTCCTTGCTTTTTCTATTGCAAGTTTGCCTTACAAAGGATCTTTGGTGGCAATCCTCATGACTGTTAGCACCTTAAAAATATCTCTCCAGTGAAATAAATGACAAAGGATATTCTGTTAGATAATTCAGAAATCTAAGGTTTTTGTTTGGTAGACAGTTCATCTATTTGGTTAAATCTTTAGAGCCTCCAAAATTCTTGCCTATATCATCAACACCCCAGCCAGAGAGACGGCAGCCACCACAGAGACGACATTCTATTGAAAAGGAGACCCCCACAAATGTGCGCCAGTTCCTGCCCCCGTCCCGGCAGAGTTCCCGCTCTCTGGTAAGTACCTCCAAGAGTAGGTGGAGATTTAAGCACCCATTGGAAAACTAGAACTGTTAAAGTTTCTTTCAAAAGGAAAAGGGAGAAAAGATCTCTTGAAGGTTAAAATTAGCTTTTGAGTGTTTAATATATAAAGAAAATAGGCTGTAATCATACTTGACTAGTCTTTGTTCATTTGGAGTATTTCATTTTTTCAGAAGACTTATCAATTGATTTTATTAAACAAGTGCTTTCTTCCTTTCCATAGATGTTCATCCACTTAAAATTATTATTAAAAACTAAGATAACTTTGTCAAATCTGAGTGTAATAGATAATTTTATGGAGCAGAAGTACATGGGAGAGGAAATTTTTATTTGGACACATGTATGGTCATTGTACATTGTTTCCTAGTGTATTTTGTCCTATGGAGCCAGAGCTCATCTTTGGACTAGTTAACAGTTTTTACTGATTTCCAGAGATGTTCAGGTTCATGTAGTGATGATTTCTCAGGACAGTGGGGTACTCAGGCCTGCCAAGAAGCACTACCAGGTCCACCAGCCAAAGGAGGTCTGCAGAGATTGTTTTGTAGCCCCATTTAGGGACTATAGGCAAGATACCAGGCTTCTACCTACAACTTACTACCTAATGTTTTTCCAAATACTCATGCATTAAAATTACTATATATACTTAGTTGTGATGAATCACTAGGACTTCAAGCAAAAACAGATGGCCTCCTTCAAAACAGAGGAAACTTGTTTGGTTACCATGAATACAGGGAGACTGAACAGAATTTAGTATTTGCATTTGATCTGTCATTTCCATTCAATTCCAGTTGAGGAATTAATGATTTTTATGGTCAGTCCTAATGGAATGCCTCTTAACTCCTAAAGATTTGCTAAAATGCTGCTACTTGATGGCATAAAGTCTGTCAGTGGCTTTATCAAAGAAAAACAGAATTCTGCTTAGATAAGGCCTTTCACTAATGTGAATATGCTCTTGTTTTATCAAATAGACAGAGTAGTCACAACTTGAAAATATGTAAGGGGAATTGGGTGCTGATGCCTCACACCTGGAATACTAGCTACTTAGGATCACAGTTCAAAGCCAGCCTGGGCATGAAAGTCTGTGTCACTGTTATCTCCGGTTTACAACCCAAAAAGTCAGAAGTGGAGCTGTGGCTCAAGTGGTTAGAGTGCTAACTTTGAGCACAAATGCTCAGAACAGAAACCAGAATCAGTCCAAAAAAAGATAAGAGATCATACATACATACATAGTTACATCCTGTTTTTCTGTAACCCATCTAATAATAAAAATATTTCCTCAGCCTACCTTTTCTAAGAAGGCAAACTGTCATTCACCTGGCCACTTAGCCTTTCTGATCATAAAGCATCATTAAGGCTAGCCTCAAATTCAAAAATTATCAGTGCATGCTAGGTGTCAGTAGCTCATACCTATAATCTTGGCTACTCAGGAGGCTGGGATATGAAGATGCTGGGATATGAGGATCAAGGTTCAAACCCAGCCTAATCAGAAAAGTCTGTGAGACTCTTATCTCTAGTTGACCACCAAAACACCGGAAGGAGATGTGGCTTAAATGGTAGAGCACTAACCTTGAGGGAAAAAGTTTATGGACATTGCCCACCCAGATCCTGAGTTCAAGCCCCAGTACCAGAAAAAAAAATCAATGTAAAAGAATCAGAGATGAACTACAAAGGAGTTTCATCTATTAATAGAAGTTATGCCAAGACCTTCTACCCATGTAAAGCCCAGGAATTCTGCCTCCTGGCACAGCTGGTGCTTGGTCACACTCTGATGTTTCTTTGGGGAGCAGGAAGGAGAGCAAGGAAAACTAATTTGCAGGCACTGAGAAGTATCTCTGGAGACCAGGTGGTGGGAGAAGCATAGTTCACCAGATGATGTATAGGTTAAAGGTCAGGGAAGGGATTCCTTCCTGAGAACAGCTCTCCCGGGTTCTCCATGGGCACCAGCTGAGACAAATGAATGTCTTCTCTCATTAGCAGCTTATTTTGTGAAAACCCACACAATCATACCTTCATTATAATACCTTGTAGCTTAGTGCTGCTTTTAAAACTAAGTGGTAATTAAAATTTTAGTAGACAAGAAATTATTTGTATTTATAACTTCTCAACTATAAATGGAAGTAATGTTTGTGTTGTTGATCATTTTTATTTTGTCTTTATTTCCCTAGAAGGTTGAAAATTAATTTTTCATCATTTGTTCAAATGACAGTTGGTAGGGAGGGGTGATGGGGATGGCTGTCCATGCTTCCCAGGGTCCCACAGAGGCAACAGGCTGCGGGATGTGTTCCAGTGCCCTCTGTCCTGCGTCCCAATGAGCCCCATTCAGGAGACTTGAAATGCTCCCAAGAGCACATTAAAACAATCTTAAAATTGTAGTCTGTTGTGTGAACTACTATGCCGTCTCTAGGCATGACTTCATGCTTTCATCCCTAATTTACACAAGTGAATGCAGACGTCAGCACTCGCCATTACCATTCTCCTGGTGTGTTTTGTTGTTCTTTCATGATGTGTAATTGCTATTTATAGCACACTCATGTTCAGCATTATTTTCCCCTTTTCTTTCCCCTGCCATTTTCTTTCTCCTTTCTGTTGTTCAGGTTCCTAGGATAACCAGTGTATGGCCAAGGACGCCTTTTCGACCACTTTTCTCTACCATACAAACAGCTTCTCTGCTCAGCTCTCATCCTTTTGAAGCAGCCATGTTTGGGGTAGCAGGGGCTATGTATTATCTCTGTGAGAGAGCTTTCACCAGCAGGTGGAAATCCTCAAAGGTTGGCCTCTTTCTGCTGGTTCTGGGACCTACTTTACTCTATCTCCATGACAGTGATACCTCAGCTACTGTACTCTGCAAGAATTAACAGCTCAGACGGGCCCTTTGCTTCTGATCATTGATTCCAATCTTGTGTAGGATGTGTAGAACATGCCATGATTTCACTTAAGAAAGAAATTACTGAAAGGACAACAGACTCAAAATGCAGCATCACATTAGAGAGGTTGTGGGTGTCTGTCTCTGGGAATGAGTCACCAGGAACCTGTCTTCTCCACAAGAGGCCCTCTGAGGGCCCGGGTGCTTTCCTCTTGGGGCCTCCCTCACCACCAGGTTTGCTCACTCACCCAGCTGGCAAAGCAGCTCCTGCCAGCCAAGTAGCTACCATAAACTGTCTGTACCCGGAGGTACGTGTGCGTCATTGCCACTTCCTGTCAACCTCCATGAGCTCTGTCTCCCAGTATCCAGAGGCTAGGCCAGTTCTGGCTAACCTGAACCAGAACTAGCACCTGCCAAATGCATTATAATAATCAAGATGTTGTTTCTCATTAGAAAATAATTGTTTCCTTTTTTATTGATAGGTTATCTAAAACACTTTAATTCTCCTTTTGAGATTTTTCTCACATGATAATCCATGTTACTATTATTTGAATGTACATGTTGTTGAGGAACACATCAAAAAGATTTTAAGAGGAAATCATTAGCTAGACACAGATGGTACATGCCTGTATCCTAGCTACTCAGAAGGCTGAGATCTGAGGATCGCAGTTTGAAGCCAGCCCTGGCAGGAAAGTCCATGAGACTTTGATCTCCAATGAACAACCAAAGTAAAAACTGAAAGTGGAGCTGTGGCTCAGGTGGTGAAGTGTCAGCCTTGAGCAGAAAAGCTAAGGAATGTGCTCAGGCCTTGAGTTCAAGCCCTAGTACCAGTACTCTCCCACTCACTCACCCCAGGAACCAGTGGCTCAAGCCTGTAAATCCTAGCTACTCGGGAAGCTGGTTTCTGAGGATCACAGTTCGAAGCCAGCCTGAGCAGGAAAGTAGTTAATCTCCAATTAAGTACCAAAGAGCCACACACACACACATACACATAGCAGATGCTGGTGAACAGCCAGGCCTGACTCTTAAAGACCTGATGTTTACTAATGATGACCTAGCAGCTGGGCCCTTTGTTATTCTATTAGTCACCTTGGTAGAAAGGAGGCTCTAGATGTAAGCCAGATGCAGCACATTCCTTCCTCTATCATTTGTCATGAGGTCTCTGTCCTTTTTCCCATTTTAGATCTGTCCATTGGGCAGAACAGTGAGGTATGGGGGTGACTCTTTAATTCCTGCCACTCCTACATGTTGGCATTTTGCTGTCAACACCTCCTAACTGAGATAGCTCTACAGGAAGCTATATCTATTTCCCACAAAGAAAGTATTTATTCTGGATGTTAAAATTGAATTTGAAAAAAGAGAAGAGTATTTACACTTAATTGCTATTTTGGCTTAAAATTGCCTCTCTGATTTATTAAAAACTTGAAAACCAATGGTTGTTTCAGACAGTCTTCAGATATATGCTACTCATGACCATTATAGAAAATGTAGCCAGGCATCAATAGCAACTCAAGAGGTTAAAATCTAAAGATTGCAATTCACAGCCATCCTGGAAAGTTTGTGACACTCTTATCTCCAATTAATGAGCAAAAAGCTGTGAATGGAGCTGTGGCTCAAGTAGTAGAATGCCAGCCTTGAATGAAAAAGCCAAGGGAATGTGCCCAGGCCCTGAGTTTAATCCCCAGTACTGAAGGAGAAAAAAAAGATATCTCTTCCCACTTGTCAGTGACCTATTCGCCAAAATTCTGCTGGCTAACCTCTCTGTACTGCCTAATTCTAACCCCTTTTATATAGTTAAAACGTATACCCAGTCAAACTCAGTAAACTTACTAGCGTGCGTACCAGTAAGCTCCAAAGGCATATAGTAGTCTTTGTGAAAAGCCTGTGAGGACTTAGCTTGCCTCTTGTCACATAGGAACACAAAACAGTGAGGGAAATGGAGTTGTGTGGTGTAGCCCTTGCCCTCCATGCAATGTAGCCTGTCAAATAAGCTGAGCACCTACTGCTGTACTGACAAAGCATAGTGTCTTAGTGGCAAGGCTCTCACTCACTTCAAACCCTGGTGTCACAAGTTGAAGCAAAACCTGTGAAGTTTAATTTGGCTCTGGGGATGCTGTTAATTTTTTTTTGGTCAATCGGAAACAAATAATGAAAAGTATTTATTATGTCATTTTCATGTTGCATTAAAGTCTTGTTGTCCTTGAGAAAGCTCCAGAATTAAAACATTAGCATTTGACTTGTTTAGTTATTTTACTAAAGGGTAATAATCTACTTGAACTTTAAAAATAAATCAGAAAGCAAAGCAGCAAAAAAAAAAAAAAAATCTACTTCTTAATGTCCTTTGAAGTTCTAACTTTGCTGTAGGTCAAAGCAGGAAGTTGAAGATCTGCTTGACTAAGGACTTGTGTGACTGAAACAAGGAAGCCCCCTGCTGGTGGGTTTATCATGATAGAGAGTTGGTCCCTGCTAATAAAAGGGAAGTATCATTCTAGGTGTTGGTAGCTCACACCTGCAATCCTAGCCCCTCAGGAAGCTGCGAACTGAGAATCATGTTTTAAAGCCAGCCTGGGCAAGAAAGTCCATGAGACTCTTAGCTCCAGTTAGCCAAAAAACTAGAGTAGAACTGTAGCTCAAGTGTGCAGTAGCTTTTAGCAAAAAAAAAAAAAAAAAAGCTTAGGAGCAGCCCTGAGTTCAAGTCCTAGTACCAGCATCAAAAACAAAGAATTACTTCTGCCTAGGTTGCCTAGCAGCCATGTGTGCTAGTTTACAGCTGGGGAAATTGACACTTCTTGCTGTCTTCCTAGCATGCACAGTAACACATATGGTCATCTGGTTCTTGGCTATATCCAGATGGCTACAGTTTAGCAGTATTGCCAGCCAGCCATTGACCACCATCCCAGTTGAGTGAAAATCATGGTAGGAAAACTTGTTCTTTTGACGTGTTAAGAACAGAGAAAACCCATCACTCAGATGTGCTGAGCCAGCACTCAGTTCTGATGGCTTGACCTTCAGAAAGGCAGTTCATTGTTCCACTTGACACCATGCTCTGTTCTGGGGGGGGGGGGGGGGGGGGGGAGCAAAACAGAGCAGATATTGAACACGCTGCTTTAATCCTATTATCTAAAGCTGTTCCCACTGAAAGAGAAAACTGTGTGATGGGTGATTTTTTTAAATGTGTATTGTGGGCATCTTAGGGCAAATGATGTAATTTTTCTGAACAATTCTTGCCCTCCAAATACTAACAAGTTCCTCATCTTAAGAAACCTAATTGCAGGATTTTTTACAAAGAATTTTTAAGCCAGTTTAGTCTACCTTAAGTTAGCTTGAACAAAGATGATTTTGTACTTTTTTTAACCAATAAGCAGTAGTTTGTCAAACTACCTTTTTTATTTTTAGTAAATGCTAATGTTTGTTGAATTTGCAACTTAGCTTTAGTTTTGTTTTCCTCTGATTGAAAGACAGAACTGAATGTTAAAACTCCATAAACTGACTGCGGTCATAGTCATGTGCTTTCTCATTTGGCTTGTTTGGTTCCAGAATGCCTGGGAGCAACGCTATTGTGTGTGTGGGAGTGAATTATAATGTGTCTGTGCTGAGAACATTCAGTTTCAGTGTCACTGCACCACAATGGTCCCTTGAAGGCTGGCAGGGCCCGAATGCACAAGACTGTTCTGTCTTTCTCTTAGATCCACCAATCAAGAGGGGGCCGGATGGAGAACGGATGGGTGCGAGGCTCTTATTCAGTAGGATCAGTTACATCAACATCTTCCACAGCTGTTTGTAGGAAAGCCATTAACATAAGCCAGCCAACATAAATATTTATTATGAAATTCTTCTGAGTGTTTCCATGTCATCCCAGGGATGACTGCACATTCAGCCATTGTTGCAAAGTAATCATGGAAATCTGGAGCAATGGGCAGCCTGGAGAGATGGCTTTTTGCTTGTAAACTGCTCCCATGGTTTCAGTTCAACTCAGACCCTTTGGATTTTTTTTAAGTGTGCTGATGTAACTGATCACTATAAAGTTACTAACCACTTTCTCTTGGCTATTCTGGGTACCACAAACCAGCTTTGTTTTGTTTTTCTTAAAACAGGACCACTGTTTTGGATTTGCTGTTATTCTGTTAGTATATAGGGCACACCACAACACTAATGTCTGTACATAATTAGGAGAAAGCCAACATAAGGTTGGTTTAAAAAAACAATTTTTTTCAAGATATCAGCATAGTTGTATAGCTGTACTTAATGGGAGAGTTACTATAGGCAAAACATGTGAACAAACGAGGCGTTTTCATGGATTGGATATTTCAGTCGCCTACAGCATGTCTTGTGGTCCTGGTTCCTGCCATCTGTAGTCTTCCTGCACTTGGCATTGATGTGGTGGTCCCCAGAGGGAGCTAGCTCTGTCCCAGTGATCATGGGAAGCCTCTTTTCCTCTCTGCAGCTACTAACCAGGTGTATGATCTGAAGGGAAAATTGCAATTCCAGATCAGTCATGGGAGTTCCTTATTCATGTGGCATTTTGAATTTCAGGAGGAATTCTGCTACCCAGTGGAATGCCTCGCCCTTACCGTGGAAGAAGTGATGCATATCCGTCAGGTCCTGGTGAAGGCAGAGCTGGAAAAATACCAACAGTATAAAGATGTCTACACCGCCCTGAAAAAAGGAAAGGTAGAGCTGTGTAAAGTTGATTAAACGGAACAATAGAAGACTAGACAGTTCTAGATATGGTATCCTAGGAGCCTTGTACACTAGCCAGATGATACAAGGCTTTTAGGGGATCTTAGGAGGTAAGATAGTCATATACTAGTTATGGACAGAGACCATATATTATATGACAATCACAGCAATCATAATAGTAGCAGTATGGCTTGATGAAGCCATATTTACACTTAGATCACTATACTTTGAAAAGATTTATAAAGAAAATATGTCAGAGAAACATAGTTTTTCAAAACCTTACTGATGAGACTTTTGAGTGCTGTAGCCTTTTATTTTTCTGAAGGAGAATTACTAAACATAATGCCAAATTATAAGTATCTCTGAGCCAAATGCCTCCTCCCTCTGTCTATGAAACATCCCCCTAGATGAATATGAAGTATGTTGAGCTATGGGAGTTAGGTGGGCAGCTGTTGGTCCTGTTTCTTCTCTCTTTTTAACTTTGTATTTTTTAGCTCTGCTTTTGTTGCCGGACACGGAGGTTTTCCTTCTTCACCTGGTCTTACACCTGTCAGTTCTGTAAGAGGTAAGGTAATTGATAAAAAGATACATTTCACAGTACTAAAGAAATGCCAATTACTGCTGGACATAGTGGGGCATACCTGTAATCCCAATACTCACAGACTGAGGCAGGAAGATCTAGAGTTCAAGGCTAGCCTGGATGACATAGTAAGACCTGTTCCAAAAACAAATTCATAAAAAGAAATACAATTACCGCTACTGTTTCATCATTTTTCCACCTAGGAGTAGTGTTAGAAATGATCCATTCTGTTGTATTACCTCATACCTGCCTTGCCACTTAGGAAGGACGATCTATTTCTTCAAGAATGGACCAAACTATTATTGAACCTGGGAAATTTTTCTGTTATTTCTTTTATGTAAGCAAATAACTAATGCATCGTGTTTAAACGACATTTATGGTTATTTTGAGAGTCTAAATAAACTAATAAGAAAATTCCAAACAGAAGTTGATTCTTTTTGTAAGGGACACAGTAATCATGTCTTGACCTTTTAGCTAAGATCAGGAATAGTATCTTCCCTTATCAGTGAAGGACAGAGGGACAGTTAAGCTTTACAGATTTATTGTCTTTTTGGCAATTCTCTTTGAACTAGTTTGTTACATTCTGGCCTAAGAAGAAGAGAGTGTATGCGTCTTGTTATAGAAGTCATATTGTGTCGCACTGGCCTCTTGAACTCTGCTCACATCCTTTGTGTTACACCAACTAATGCTTCTGCTTTTGTACACAGGCCTGTATGCTCACAGTGTTGCAAAAAGGTAAGCCCAGCTTGGTTAAATAGAGTTGTGTCCATGTTTTGCCTATGCTAGTCTTGCTCATTCTCATTTTTTCTTTTTTTTTGGGGTGGGGGGATAATAGATGCGGCTGCCCTCCAAGCCATACTCCACGCTCCCTATCTTTTCCTTGGGACCTTCTGCCTTGCAAAGAGGGGAAAGTTGTATGAGGTCAGAAAAGCCCTCCACTAGCCACCATCGGCCACTTCGGGGCATTGCCAGGTAAGCCAGGACCTGGGTCTTCCAAGTATCCTCTCTGCTTACAGGGACTGCAAAGAAGGGTTAGGTTTGACAAAAGAGGATTTGCTGGTTTCTTTGTTGGTTCAGACTTGCACACAAATCTCCCAAGCTTCCTCAAAGGCGACTCTTCAGAGGATAATGACAATTTGCTCAAAGGATACTTAATCATATAGTAGTTCCCCTACTTTTGAAGTAACCATTATATTCTTTAGAAGTCATCTTTAAAACTGACCTGATTTTAAATGGAACAAGTTTAATTCTTCTTTCCTCCTCCAGTTTTGGAAAGAAACTACTTTGTGTTTACAGTGGTTTATTATTGTAAAGGCAGAAGTAAAAGATTTATGCTTAAAACTGCCAGTTTTCTAAACTGGCCAAAAAAAAAAAAAGCCCAATACCAGTCCCTCTGCTAGTCATCACAATGGAGGAAGGAGGAAGACCAACTCAGGTCCCAGACTGTCAGGGAAGAGTCTCATGGCTCTGTGAGAGCCTAGCATGAGACCTGAGCCCCAAGCCCCAGACACTTGCCTTGTGCTTTGGCTCTGTCCTCTGAACGACCTCTTCATGATGCCGCAATAGTCCTCCTTTATCCTGCTTACCCTCAACCTCCTGGACCTTCTTTCTGGCCTTTCATATTTGCATTGGTTAAAAAATAAGAGAATTAATGATCCTTTGTTTCCTTATACTTTTATGGTGCTGTTGATCTAGTTCTGAATCCAAATAACCACTCTCTCAAGTCTAGGAGAATAGGGCAGTGAGCATATGTAATTAAAAACACAAGTGGCAAGAACATTGATCAAAAGATAATTTTTTAGGATGTGTCATAAGACAGAAAAATAGGCAAGGCTCCAGTGGTTTACCCCTATAACCGTAGCTCCTCAGGAGGCTGAGATCTAAGGCTCGCAGTTCAAAGCTAACCTGGGGAGGAAAGTCGGTGATATTCTTATCTCTGATTAACCAGCAAAAATCTAGAACTGGAACTGTGGCTCAAGTGGTAGAGGGCCATCCTTGAGTGAAAAAGCTAAGGGATAACACTGAGTTCAAGCCTCAATACTTGGCACCAAAAACAAAATGATCAATTTATTTCAGTTTCCTATAGCACATTCCTATAGCACCACAGCATTTTACTGATGCTCACTTATCATGACACAGAGCACTAGGTCCCTGGAAAACAAACTTGAAGTCCTTCTGAATCATCAGTAGGATATTAGCAACATGTACTTGTGTCTTGGTTGATAAAATGCCAGGTCTACATGTGAATGATCATCAGGCAAACACCTTGGAGACTCTTTTCCAAAGATGTTATAAGTGCACAATTTTTAATGATTTTTTTTTTGTTTTGTTTTGTCAGTCGTGAGGCTTGCGCAAACTTGGGGCCTGGGCACTGTCTCTGAGTTCTTTTGCTTAAGGCTAGCTCTCTACCACTTTAAGCCACAGCGCCACTTCCAGTTTTCAGGTGGTTAAGTAGAGATAAGAGTCTCACAGACTTCCTGCCCAGGCTGGCTTGGAACTGTGATCCTCCAATCTCAGACTCCTTAATAGCTAGGATTACAGGTATGAGCCACCAGTAAGTGGCTTTTCAGTGTTATTTCTTAATCAAACCTATTTCCTGGTGTTTATTTGTTTTCCAGTACTGAGGCTTGAGCTATAGGCCTGATCACTGTCCCTTTGCATTTTCACTCAAGGCTGGGGCTCTCTCACTTGAGCTTTTTCTATCACTTCTGGCTTTTTTTGGTGATTAATTGGAGATAAGCAGCTCATGCTTTTTTTCTGCCTTGGCAGGCTTGGAACTATGATCCTTAGATCTTAGCTAGCTGCTTAACTAGATATAGAGGCACTATATCTAGGCACTATCAGCACCCAGCCCTTGCTGTCTTTTTAAAAAAAAAATGTTTTGAGGCTAGTTATCCGTGGTTCATGCCTGTAATCCGAGCTACTCAGAAGTCTGAGGATCACGGTTTAAAGCCAGCCCGGGCAGGAAACTCCATGAGACTCCTATCTCTCAGAAAACCAGAAGTGGCACTGTGGCGGTTAGAGCACTCGCCTTGAGCTGAAGAGCTGAGGGATAGTTCCCAGGCCCAGAGTTCAAGTCCCACAACTGAAAAAAAAAAATGTTTTTGAACCTTGTGTCCAGTTAACAAAAAAAAAATCCTTCCAGAAACATGATGTGATCAATTTACCCATTCCATAATGCTTTGACAAGAATTTTAATATTTTGTATATAATTTTATTGTTATCATTAAGGTGTTATACAAGAGGGATTACTGTTTCGCAAGTCAAGTAATGAGTACATTTCTTTTTGGACAATGTCACCCCTTAAAATTTTTAATAATTTACATGTTTTGCTAATGTTGCAATAGAATCTTAAGTAGGAATACTGAGCTGTTTGGGCTTTCTTTCTTCCAGGTTTTCTTCAAAAGCTAAGTCGGTGGACAAATCAGACGAAGAACTCCAATTTCCCAAAGAGTTCATGGAGGACTGGAGCACAATGGAGGTGTGCGTAGACTGCAAAAAGTTCATTTCAGAAATCATCAGTTCAAGTCGGCGTAGCCTGGTGTTGGCCAACAAAAGAGCCCGATTAAAAAGGAAAACACAGTCTTTCTATATGTCCTCAGCAGCCCCCTCTGAGTACTGTCCTTCAGAAAGGACTATCAATGAGATCTGAGCCCGTGCCTTCCAGTTGCTTTTGTGTCCCAAGGCAAGGCGGTGTCAGAGTGGAAAACACTGCCAAGCTGTCTCTCCTCCCCCTGGTTTTATTTCATAGGCTTGAATTTGTATTAGATCAGACTTTGCTGCTTCACCTTCTCCCACAGACTGAATGCTGTGTTCATATCGGTTGAGGAGACGTGACAGGTCAACCAGTTGGTCACTTGGCACTCACAGAGGACAAAACAACAGCTTGAAACTTGCTCTTAGGTGTGTGGATGTGAAAACCAGAAACGTTTTCCTTAGTTTGGTTCTTACTGTCCCTGAAATAATTTCCTGCCTAAGGCAAAGGGTTTCTGGCATGGGAAGTGGGTCTGACAGAGGTGTTGATGTTAGCACAGTTCTAAGCAGTAAGTCATATTGGCATATCCACATGACAGTGTTCCTATCTCATGTACATAGTGTCCAGTGCCCTGCCCCCAGCCAGGTCCCTGGGGAGGGCTAGGCTGTTACTGCCTCACTGCACAAACCTAGGACTTGCTGGTACTTTCAACTGATTTTTAAATTATTGTTGTTCTGAGGTACAAACGCCATAAGGGGCTCTCTGCCTGCATCCCTATGCACAAGGTAGCTGCTTCCTCTGAGCTGCTGGCCCCATCCCAGCACCGTGGCACCTCTGACAGGCTTTCGTTCCCTTCCGTGAATGTATTAAAAGTGACTAATAGTTTCATAGTAGAAATCAAAAGAGTTAATTTTGTGGGAGTTTCAGGACAAAGCTGTAATTTTGTCAACTATGACAAGGATTGTTACAGGAGCGGTTCCAGTGGAAAATGAGCCACAACTCGTCCATTTTCAGCTACATTTTTCATAATTTTGTAGTGTAGTCATCACAACTAAATTTACCCACAATTTGGTACCTAAATATCAAACTAAAATTTATTTTTATAAATGAATTTTAAAAGAAACACATATTTAACTCTTCAAAAATTTAAAAAAAAAAAAGTTGAACTCCTGACTGGCAAAAAGTTTGGATGCTTTTTGCAAAATTGAGTTAAGTGTAGGTTGGGTTTCTGTGAAGGTAGATTGGCAGGTGGCATTTGGCACCTGAAACCACTCAGCTCTTTTGCCCTGTTCCATGGACTATCCTTTGTGACTGATATACTTAGCAATGTGCAACCTTTCAAATCACCATGGATGCTTGAAAACCAGTTAAATGCACATGCACAAATGTTTCCTGAAAGCTATAGAACAGATTTGTCATCAACACTATGGCAGCTCCATTTAATAAAAAGGCATGACCATCACATTTCATACCACATTAAAAAAAATAGTAACATTTCCACGTTAAATTAACATCATAACCTCAAAACTGCTCCAGTCGTAGTTTTCTAACTGAAGTTTACAGTTTAGGAACTGGCTTTAAATTACTTACACTTATAAAATAAACTTTACCAGTTGAGTAAAATAATGCATGTTACTAGTTTATCTATAATGCATGTAAAAGTGGACCACCAGAAAACTGAATTGTTTCAATTATATTAAAGACTCTTCTTAAGAACTTTAAAAATTATGTTCGTTAGATGGGTGCCAGTGACTCATGCTTGTAATCCTTGCCCCTTAGGAGCCTGAGATCTGAGGATTGCAGTTCAAAGCCACAATGGGGCAGGAAAGCCTGTAAGACTCTTTGTCTCTAACCACCAAAAAGCCAGAAGTAGAGCTGAAGCTCAAGTGGTAGAGTGCTAGGCTTGAGCAAAAAAACAACTCATGAACATCAACCAGGCCCTGAGTTCAAGCAGGCCCTAGTACCAGCGCACATGTGCGCACGCGTGTGCGCGCGCACACACACACACACACACACACAAATTATATTGGTTATATCATGTTTTAAAGTTTTCAAGAAAACATCTCAACTATACAAATATGTCCACCCTCTTGGATGGCCCAGGCTTAAGCTGCTGTGGCTTCCTACAAGGGAGTAAGGGGAAGAGGTGGTACTTATATGAGTATATAAATATGGATCTAGGTAACATGCTTTTTAAAACAATGACTGGTTGCTGTTTGTATTGCAACATAAGACACTGACCACCCACCTCCCCCAAAATGAGAATTCCACTCACATTCACAACTTCCTATCTAGTTCAGTAGTTATCTAGTAAATTTTTTATCCCCTTCTTCAGAAGGGTTCCAGTACAGGGTGTTGCAACAAATGACTTGAGCATTGTGATCACCTTTTACCAGGCCATTAGGGTTGCAAATCCATGAACAGCTTTGCCAGTTCATCCAAGAGGTTGAGTGAATGGTGTTTCCAGTGAAACAGTTTGCAGAAAATTGTGTAAAAAAGAACATATAACAGGATTAAAGTTTTAGAATCAAATTAGTACCTCTGAGGTACCAAAACAGATTTGTGTGTCTACTTTCCCTTATCTTGGCCACGCATGCCCCCTTCAACATTTGTACTACGTGAATTTTCCACAGTCTGATTTAAGCTCGAGGCACTTGCTTTTAAAATCCTGCGCCTCAGCTCAGAGCTTCCTGCTCCTCCTGAAATCAGCACCTCCCCCACCCCACCCCCTGCAGTGTGCCTTGCTATCCTGGTTTCCTCCTGGTGCAGCTTTTTCTTCCCACCAATAACAAGCTGAGGTTGTCTGGTCTCAGTTGGAGCTGGATGTACCTTGTGCATGTGTACACATCTTTGTTGTTTCTTCCATCCCAGCTCCTTCCAGGTGTGAGCGCCAGGTCCTTTTGTCCCATAGGCCATGGGGTCACCCAGGGAGATCTATACCTCTCTCTGTGTAGCTTCACTTCTTACCAGTATCAGATGTAAGACACTTGTCAATACTGTAATATATTCATTAATATTTGAAAGACATTCATTCCATGGACAGTGGGAATTAACTGTCCCAAAGCAGGTAAAAATTAAATCAAATAATTGATGTACAGTGACTTAATGATCTTACCAATTAAAAATGAAGAGAGATGCAATTAACACCATGAACTCATACTATGAAATTTTAAGGCTTTTATTTTTCTAACTACACTAATAAATATGGGACTGGATTTTAGGTATCATATAGGAAATGAGTGTTTTAAATTATGTTCCTGTTTACTAAAGCAGAACAGCAGAAAAATTTTGTACAATCAGAACAATTGAAGGTGTACTGCTGCTGGACTTTGACCTGGCTTCTCCTGTGTAGAAAGTTGAGAGGGATTGCTGACATTCAGGGTGACATGATGGCACTAAATGTTTTCCATTCAAGTATTTTATTTTAAAACTTATATAGGGAAAAATAAATGTCTTTGGTCATAGCTTCTGTGTTGAGTTCCAGTGTCTTCTGGTTACCCACTGTTTGAAGTCACCAGGCTGGAGAGGTAAGAGACCAAGCAGTGGTAACTTATGGTAATTTCAGAAATAAAGTCTGAGCTGGATGCCAGTGACTCACACCTGTAACCGCAGCCACTCAGGAGGCTGAGATTTGAGGACCAAGGTTCAAAGCCAGGAAATTCTCCCATCTCAGTCTGCTGAGTTCATAGAACTATAGATGTATTCTACCATGCCCAGTTTTTATTTATACTTTCTAAATAGCACTCTTCAAAGGGCATCTTCCTCAAGTGTGAACTTAGGAAATTTGTTATATATACTTCATGCACTCTAGGAGTGGTGCTATAGACTGCATATCTTAGCATCACATGATACTGAATTTTATATAGATCTATGTACACAAGCTGTTCCCTGGGTCCCCTGACCTTTTTAAGGAGCTTTTTCATTTTTGCACTGAAGTTTCTCTGTGATAACAACATGAGGCGTATGAGCAGTGACCTGCATCCTGGCCTTCTCCTTTCCTGGGGGGAGGAAGTGTGCATGCACCGAAAACCTACATCCCAGCTCCTCAGGAGAAACCTGCCACAGGTGGATTGAAGATTGCTGTACCACAAATCGAAGTTCCTAAGCAGTTCCTAAGTGTAAAGCTCTAGGGAAGGACGTGGAGCGGGAAGGAACAGCCAGTCTGCTCAGGTAAACCTGTGAACACTGTGGCCTCTGTATATGGAGCCCCAATGGGAAAGCAGAAAAATATAAGAAACTTGCAAGGCGCTGGTGGCTCACCCATGTAATCGTAGCTACTTGGGAGGCTGAAATCTGAGGGTCATGGTACAAAGCCAGCCCAGGCAGAAAAGTCTAGGAGACTCCAAATGATCACTAAAATGCTGGAAGTAGAACTGTGGCTCAAAGTGGTAGAGTACCAGCCTTAAGAGAAAAGGTTAAGGGACAGCTCTCAGACCCTGAGTTAAGATTCCATACTGACATCAAAAGCAAACATGGCAGCAGCTTTGGTTTTACACATCTGAAAAGAGAGAATCCAGATTTAGCCGTGCACCAGCTACAAACCTCCAGAGTCATCCTGCTCCAATTCCAGGTCACAAGGAGTCAGGTGCGTGGAATACATAATGGCTGGACTCCCGCCCTAGGCTTCACTGGTCCTCCAGATCGAGCAGTGATGGCCACTACTTCCATGTAGCAGCTGGACCCTCTCTGTTTCAAAGTGGTATTCCCCAGCAAATAGGCTGCTTTTTTTTTTAAGGAGCCAAGACCCTAGATCTTGATACCTAAAAAACAAAACAACAACAACAACAAAACCCTAGACTAATTAGCAAAGTAGGGTTTTTTTTACAGCAATACCAAGTGTCTAATTTTGTTTTTTCTGTGGGGGGAGGGGTGTACGTGTGTGCACACATACATGCTGGTACTGGAGCTTGAACTCAGGGCCTTGAGCTCTTGCTTGGTAAGCGGCCACTTTTTGGAAGTCTTGCTATGTAGTACAGGTATCTTTCTTCCCTGTGCGTCCTCTTGAGTGCTGGGAATCAAGTGAGAGAACTTCACAGGTTGACCAAGTGGTAAACATTTAAACTGAGCCAATTGTAATTAGTAATTGAGGGGGGGAAAAAATCTTTGGGTAATCCGAGCAAATCCTTTCACTGACATGTGAAATGGCAATTCTTTCCAACTAATGTTTCTGTCTTTTGAAGACAGACTTGGTTATGAATATTACACAAAAGCAAGAAAGTACAAAATGTTACTTATTTGAAACTCAAAAGCAGAGGCAAATAGTTGTACAAGTTGCCATAAACAAGTTTTAGTCCATCTCTCAAAAGGAAATAGTCAAGCCTCAGAAGGAAGTTAACTATGAAACACGCACACACACATACCTTCCTTGCAGCTGAGGCTGTAACTGTGATAGAGTGCTTGCCTTGTCTGTACAAAACCCTGGGATCAAATTCCCAGTCCCATGACTACCACCACAGGTGCGCGCACGCACGCACACACACACACAAAACAACCAACCTTGTACTAGCCACTTAGCTTCAGTACTGAGTCCAGCACTGGGTCCTATTGGAAGATCTCACCTGCCATGGCAGTAGTGGGCAACACATCCCTTTGTTCCCACAGTTCACTGCATACTTCCTGCTTTTTTAAAATTTTTTTAATTAATTTTATTTTTTGATTATGTGGTACCAAGGAATTGAATGTAGGGCCTCTGCATGCGAGGCAAATACTCTACCACCAAGCTACATTCCCAGCCCCTGCTTCCTGCTTTGATGTGAAGAGAAAGTGACTTCATAGGTGAACACTGTAACTTCATTTTCATCTCTGTAACATGCATTACCACACAAATTACATCTTCAGCAACAAAGCAACTTGTTACCCAGGAGAGAGTCACAGCTGCAGGTGGCTCCAAGTCTGCACGCCTCCCATGTGCAGCTCCGAGAAAAGCAGGTCACTGCCTGAACTCACCAGCTCTCATTTCTACAGCTGGCCTTTCAGAGCTGATCTCGACTGTTGAAAGGAATCCATGCCAACAACCGACTGCAGGAACCCTCTGCCTTCATCTCCTAGGCCCTCACCTGTTTTAATGCATCCAGGATAAGGCAGGTCTTATTCCCTGCAAAGTGCCCTCTTTGACGAGGTCAACTAGTTGGAAGTTCTGACCTCAGGTAGATTCCTGCCATGGTTGACTTGATGGTGCTGCCCATATGTCTCCATAGAAAATGCTGCCTCTTCCTGAAGGATCCTATTAATCTCATTCCTCTCAGTATCACCTCCTGCCCTCCATATTTCTGGCCAGGTTTTTCCTGTCATACTTAGCACCTAATATCCTAGTACATTGGTCAAGCACTGGTGGCTTTGACCTGTAATCTTAACTACTCAGGAATCAGACCTGAGGATCCCAGTTCAAAGCTAGGCAGACAAATCTGAGAGACTCTTATTTCCAATTAACTAGTAAAAAGCTAGAAGTAGAGCTGTGGTTCAGGTGATAGAGCACCAACCCTGAGCAAACAAAGCTAAATGAGAACACAAGGCCCTGAGTTAAGCCTCAGTACACACACACACACACACACACCATTCTAGTCCATTGTCCCATGAAGATACAAAGATCTTGTCACACTTCTTTCCTGCCATATTCCTAAAATATCTGGTATGAAACAAATCCTCCACAGATGTGGAGAGAGAGAGTGAGCATGTTCAACATGGAAATGAGAATAAGAAATAAGATGGGAACTTCCAGTTGTCTTCAGAACAACCAGCAGTTTTAAGTGTACTCCAACAGCCACATCCCTGCCTTTCCTTAAGTCAGAGTATAATTCTAAGTTAAATTCCTGCCTGTCATGGTATTAGCACAGTGGACTTGAAATTTGAAGAATACTTTTTGCTACCCTGGGTTGTCTATGTGTGTGTACATGTGCATACGTATGCACAGTGCTGGGTGGAATGCAGGGACTTGCAAATGCCAGGCAAGCCGTCTACCACTACCTCCTAAGCCCTTGTCTTCCTGCTTTCTTCCTGTAAAGGCAGGTCTCCCCCATCTCCAGAGCCCCTTGATAGAGCAATCTGTAAGCTCAACCTCCTCCCATTGCAGTGTGTGCAGATGCACAGGCCCTGGAGACCTGCCCTCCAAGCTGCTACAGAAATGCAAAAGGTATTTATCAATACTGAGTTCATCCCATTCGTTACTACTGACCTCTTTTTATGACATAGTTGTTAGCTTTTACTAATAATCACAAAATTATGGTTTTAAAATGAATGCCGGTTATGCCAAAATAAATATTAAATTTGTCATACTGACAGTTTGGCCAAGGAAAGTTATGAAAATAAGCTTTATGACACTACTCAATTTTTTCATGGTACTGGGGTTTGAACTTAGGACCTTATACTTGTTAGGTAGGCTTTCTACCTCTTGAATCAAGTCCCCAGCTCTTTTTTTGCTTTAGTTATTTTTCAAATAGGTGTCATGTTTGTGCCTAGGCTGATGTGGAAAGCGATCCTCCTATTTACCCTTCCCACATAACTAGTTGGGCTTATTCCACCATACCCAACTTTTCATTGGGTAAGATGAAATCTTGGCCTCAAACATTGATTCTCTTGATCTCACGTCCTAAGTAGCTAAGATTACTAGAATGAGCCACCAAGCACGGCTAATAATAAGTGTTTTTAAAATGAACTCCCCTCTATAAAACTAATGTAAGCCAGGAAAACAACAACAACAACAAATAAACTTCACAAATAATGTTTGAGAAACTGTCACTGTTGCCCAGGCTAGCCTTGAACTCTTGGACCCAAGCAATCCTCCTCACTCAGCCTCCAAAATAGCTGGTTCTATAGGTGTGCACCATTGAACCTGGCTAATTTTTAGAATTTTGGTCTGGGGATTAAACCTAGAGCCTCCCTGAGGCTAAGCAGGTACTCTATCACTGAGTTACACCCTGGCGCAGTGCAACTCTTACAGAGACTCTAGGAATCCTCTATTACAGGGGGACAGGGGCTGGGAATGTGGCTTAGTGGTAGAGCGCTTGTCCAGCATGCACAAAACCCTAGGTTCAATTCCTCAGCACCACATAAACAAAAAGCCAGAAGTGGTTCTGTGGCTCAAGTGGTAGAGCACTAGCCTTGACTGAAGAGAAGCTCAGGGACAGTACTCAGGCCCTGAGTTCAAGCCCCAGGATTGGCAAAAAATATATATATACATATATATATATATATATACATATATATATACACACAGGGGGACAAACAGGAATAGTGATGTTGACATTTTTTATTTAATCTTTCTTTCTTTCTTTATTTTTGCTGGTCCTGGGGTTTGAACTCAGAGCCTGGGCACTATCCCTGAACTTTTCAGGCTCAAGGCTAACACTTTACCACTTGAGCCACAGCACCACCAGGGTTTTTCTGAATAATGTATTAGAGGTAAGAGTCTCACAGCCTTTCCTGCCTGGGCTGGCTTCAAACCACGATCCTTAGATCTCAGCCTCCTGAGTAACTAGGATTACAAGTGTGACCCACCAGCACCTGGTTAATGTGGACATTTTAAAAAGGCAAATCTTAGGCAGAGTGGGTGATCTGTAATCCTAGCTACTCTGGAGGCTGCGATCTTAAGGATTAAGCAGTTCAAAGCCAGCCCAGGAAGGCAGATCTGAGAGACTCTTACCTTCTATTAGCCAGCAAAAAGCCAGAAGTGAATGTGTGGCTGAAGTGGAAGAATGCTAGCCTTGAATAAAAATAAAGCTCAGGAACAGTGCCTAGACCCTAAATTCAAGCCCCAGTGCCCAGTACAGTCATGCACGCGCGTACGCGTGCGCGCGAGCACACACACACACACACACACACACACACACACAATTGTCTGAGTATAGGGCTCATTTGTAAGTGAATTTGTTTGGTAGAGGGAAGGAGACAGTGGAGACATCAGCATCTGACCCCTGTATGGAAGACACCACCCCTTCCTAAACATGGGTTTGGGGGTAAAAGCACCAAGGCAAGAAATCACCTGCTTGTCAGAAACTGAAAACCCTTTGGCTCAGAGCAGAATGTTGTCATGTTTGATTCCAGTGCCAAATGGATGGAAAAGTGTCAAAAAGTATTCAGCCCCATTGTTCCTTTCTTTCCTTACAAGAAAGATACCCTGGATCACAGTGATCTAGATTTGTCTTGAATATCGTTCTAGCAGGGTTTGTAGGAAGAGGCTAGTGCGTTTAACTTACTCCTCACCCAGGAGCAAGGATGAAACTAGAAATTCAAAGGCAGCAGGAGTCTGAGTATGTATATACACACACTCACACTCACACTCACACACACACACACACACCATTCTCCCTTTGTACCTTCAAATTCAACCAACTACAGATGGTTTAAATACTCATGGAAAAAGTTGTATCTGGGCTAAACTTGTAGTTTTTTGTGTGATTCTTAACACAGCTTGACAACTACAACACATTTACACTGCTAGCATTGTTATCTAGAGATGATTTAATATATACAAGAGGATGTTGCAGGTTCTATGCAAATTCTGTGACATTATGTAGAAGGAACTTGATTATGGCTTTTGTTGACCTCTGGGTACTAGAACCAATTCCCTGAAGGTACAAAGGAACAGCTGAGGAAAAAAAAAAAAAGCCCCAGGCTGGGCACCAGTGGCTCATGACTGTAATCCTGGCTACTTAAGAGGCTGAGATCTGAGGATCCCAGTTCAAAGCTAGACAGGGTAGGAAAGTTAATGAGACTCTTAACTCCAATTAATCCCCAAAATCTGAAAGCAGAGCTGTGGCTCAAGTGGTAGTGCACCAGCCTTGAGTGAAAAGGCTAAGAGCACCTAGACCCTGTGTTCAAGCCCCAGAACTGAAACCAAATTAAAAACATAAACCTCAGGCAGGAAAATATGCTATTAACAAGATACTTTAAGAGATGACCACATGTCCTCTGAAAATTAAACTATATTTAAATGGTCAAAACAGTATGGGAAACAATGCCCTGCTCAATATTCCAAAACTGATAAAAAGGTATTTTGTGGGGGCTGGGAAGGTGGCTCAGTGGTAGAGCGCTTGGCTTGCATGCATGAGGCCCAGGGTTCAATTCCTCAGCACCACATAAGCAGAAAAAGCCAGAAGTGGCACTGTGGCTCAAGTGGTAGAGCACTATCCTTGAACTGAAGAGCTGAGGGACAGCGCCCAGGCCCAGAGTCCAGGGCCCACGACCGGCCAAAAAAAAAAAAAGTATTTTGTGTTACTTGTGCCAGGTTTATGGGAGGCGCCCTTTCAGCTAGCCCTCAGAGGAGGACACAGCTGCTCTGGGCAATCTGACCAGCGTAAGATAGGCCTACCCAGGCCACTACAAGTCTGAGGCAGAGCCATACTGACTGTCCAGCACCACTATTCACAAGCCTCCCAGACCTGAGAAGGCTCCTATATTTAACCCCAACTCCAGCCCTCTGCTTTTGGATGAAGCTGGCCAGTGATGGCTGCAAACTTTGGGATCAAAACCCACCAGAAGCTGGTGACTACAAGCTTGAGCCACTAGCCACTGGTTCATGCTTATAATCCTACCTACTCAGGAGGCTGAGATCTGAGGATCATGGTTTGAAACCAGCCAGGGCAGGAAAATCTGTGAAACTCTTACCTCTAATTGTTGGAAACCCAACACCCTCTGCGTCCGAAACAAAATAGACACACAAGAGATACAGGAGATCTCATCAGGCAATTCACTTCTGCGTAGAAGGGTGCATAGACACTCTCCACAGAGTTAGGCAAGCATACCAGATGGGGCAGTCTGCTTATTTTTTATCCCAACCCATGGAGTGATGCCACCCCTCCTCGTTTGTTAGGAATCAGGCTTACATTTTATGTATCATTTATTACCACCCAAGAAAATCCAAAAGTGGAGGTGTGGCTCAAGTGGTAGAGTACCAGAGTGGAGTGGAAAAAAACGAAGGAAGGGGCAGCACCCAGGCCCTGAGTTCAAGCCCCAATACTGGTACAAACAAAATAAAACAACCACTAGAAATTTCTGTCAGTAAGTGGAGGGAGGAGTCACAGCTTGAGAAAATCTTTCTCTCATATCCTGGACTCTTGGAAAGGATGAACTCTGGGAAAGTTAAGTCAATTCCTGTTCAGTAAACAAAGACAGTCTTAAAACCAGCAACTCACAGCCTGCCTGTGCCCTTTCCTAACACCTCCAGGATGCAGTGCTGGGGCCAGCGCTGTCAGTGCTGGGCCCTGCCCTAGTCTCAGGTTGGTCCTCAGGTTCCATGTGCTCCCACAAGCGGTAGCCAACAGGTTCAGGTCTACATTCAGGCACCTGCTCCCCCACCCCTGATCCTGCTGAGAGGCTAGCCCTGAGTACCTCCTGAGGTGAGCAGACAGAGCACCCTAATCACACATGGTATTCTGCAGGATAGCATCACACAGCACATTAGGCTTGTCTATGTTTTCTCTACAACCATTTTTGTTATTTGAGGACTTACCAAACTTCTCTGGAGCATCAGAAGACACAAGGCTGCCTCATTGGTTGCTATTTCTTCCAATCCCCTAGCAAACCTACTGAACAGTCACAGAACCAGCAGTGTTTAGAGGTTATGACACTCTATTATCATTAGCACTGTATTATTACAGCTATTTTCTCAACTTGGACATCCAGGTTTAACCTCTTCTCTGACACTTTTCACATGCAATATTTACTTAGTGCTAGTGAATTCCAAATAGGGTTGTAGGAATGAATATTAATCCTACTTTCAACTGACACACAAGTTACAACACCTAACAACTTTACACAAGACACTAAATTACTATTGCGTTCATTTAATGGTTACCATGAGAAAAAATGATTTCTTTATTGGGGAAAAGCACAGAAGAGTAAGAAACTGAACACATTCAGATGGGGGGAAGCCTTTTTTGTGGTTTTCTTGGACAGATGTTCTACCACTTGAGCCACATCCCTAGACCTTTTCTTTAAAAAAGAAGAGGTCTCAATAATTTACTATTATTTATATTAGCAAATATCAGTCAGTAGTAGACAAGGAGATGTGAGATACAGCCAGGGTTGTACATTCCTCCCCCTTCTCTTCCATTCCTATTCATCAGGACAACTGGTTGTTGAACTTCAGACAGCAGTATACCCAGCTTAGATAGGCTGGGAGGAGCTGGCAGCCAGGGTAGGATTCCTTTCCTCTTCAGGAGACACTCAGCTCTTGGGTCAAGTTCATGGTCCACCTGATTACCAGTAAACTCTCCTCCCCAGAGGAGAGTTTGATCACTACTTTTTGGATAGGATTTCCTGTTTGCCTCAGACTACAATTCTTCTATCTACATTTTTATGGCTGGGATTACAGAAGTGTGCCAGCATGTTCAGTCTCAGGTATTTATTTTTACCTTTATTTGGCTAATAAGGGTTTTAAAGTACCTGGTCCCTGATTTTTACAACTGTTCATCCCCTAAAACTGCAATCTTCTCCCACAAATAACCAGGGATCTCTGCATGCCCTCTTCCTTGCGGAGAATCAGGAAAGCTACCCTCCTCTCTTAAAAGAACAAGGTTTCCCAAACCAGCTTTCCATGTGTCCCTCTAGAACAGAGCTGATGTGACTTCTGTAAAGTTACAGAGCCATCTTGACATATGTGAAAATGTAAAGGACAAGGTCTAGGAAATGATGCCACATGAAGAGGAGCACCCTGACATTCTACCCTGACCCCCTCCTCGCTAGGGTGCAGCAGACCCAGTGAATGTGGGCAAGCAGCCCTCATCCTGGGGGGTTAAGGCACTGGGCAGGGAGTGTTTTTCTTGTTGCTTTTTATGCCAGTACTGAGGCTTTGCTCAGGGCCTTGTGCTCTTGCTTGGTTTTTGCAATCAAGGCTGGCACTCTAGCACTTCGGTTTTTACTGGTTTACTGCAGATAAGAGTCTCAAAGACTTTCCTGCCCATACTGGCTTTAAGCCATGGGCCTCATATCTCAGCCTCCTGAGTAGCTAGATTACAGGCATAAGCTATCACTACAGGCTGAGGGATGTTTGCAAATCACTACTGTTCACAAGTGATATACAGCTAGAAATCAGCGCATACAGCATGCTACCATTTCATTTTAATGAAAGAAGGAAAAGGAAAAAAGAAACACACATATACTTCAATGTACATAAAAGAAAAAAAAAACTTCTGGAAGGTTTGGTAAAAATGGGGAGTTGATTGGTAGGAGAAAGAGGTCTTTACCGTTCAAGAGGCCTGCACCACCTTAAGCCACAAACATAGATTGTTCTTTTTTAGTTAGTGTTGTTTTAAACAACTTTGATTTAAAGACATTCGGGGGAAAAGGCATTTATTCTTGTCCCCAAAATGCCATAAAACTAGAAGCAAATTAAGAACACAAGGGAGACACTCAGAGGCCTCCGTAACACCCCCACCAGTAGGTGACATAGCGAGGTGATTGGCAGAGCGCGCTCCTGCCTGGGCATCCGGTCCAGGGTGAGGTGTCCCAGAATGGGGGCAGGGAGAGGGACACGCTAGAGTGGCTGTTACACAGCCTACAGAAGGACAGGTAGGTCCTGTGTCCCCAGCCCACTCCCTGAGATGGGTGACTCTTGTCAGAGCCACGCTCTAGAGAAGATACCTGGGGTTGGCACAAAGTCCCCGGGCCATGGAACCCAGAGTGCAGAGCTCTGGGAGGTTGCAGCTTCTGGGGAGGCCACTTCCTCACCAAGGGATTTAGACACCAGAGGGCAGAGCCGCCCATGGGACATCCTGACTTCCTTTCACAGGGACGATGGTGACAGCAGTCAGGCAGCTCTGGCCAGCAAGCACAGAGGAGAGGCAGGCAAAGTCTCTTCCAGCAGAGCATCAGCAAAGGCACAAGAACAATCGAGAACAATCAAGAACGATCAGAATAGGGTGCAGTGGCCTGGGATGAGGTGCATTCTGTGGCTGCTGCTTCACCTCACTCCTGGTGCTGGACCCCACCATGGGCTGCAGATTCCAGCACATTCCACAGACCTTTCCCAGACTGGGCCGGAAGCACATCCACACTTCCTTTTCTTTCTCCATATTTCCTCTTGTCCTTTTGTAGAATTCTGATGAGGTATCTAATTAAAAATGGGGACACTTTAGCCCTAGTTTATGAAGAAATGGAACCTGAAGAGCTCATGAGATATCAAATGTCCGCCATCTCCCCACTGCCCCCCAATCCACATGGACAAGACATGGTCCAACAAGCCCCCAGCTCATGCTCCCATTAAGGTGAGACCATGACAAGAGTGAGAAGCCCAATGGCAAGTCTCACATTGGGCTCAAGATGAGGGTCTCTGGCAAGCTTCAGTGACTTAGGCAACATCAGAAAAGCGTTCTTCAAGACATTAGGAACCCCAAATACTGCTGGCTGAGTGAGGGGTCAGGAGTGGGCACACACATGCTTGGGAAAAGGGACCCAGAAGCACAGTCCAGCGACTTAACAGAGAGCAGAGCCTTAGGCAGAAAGCAGCGCCGCTAAACCAAGGGAAACAGACACTGTCTCCTCTCAGTCTGTGGTGACCTGAAGGTGAATGCCAAGCAACCAAATGTCAGGTTCCTGAGGACTCAGGGGACCAAGGAATGCCTGTGAAACTCGTGGAAATTCTACAAGTGGCTTTTGCCAAGAAAAGGAAGTGGCCCATAGCGCACACATTCTTCGTAAGAATATGTGCAGGCTAGTGTGTGTAGCCCAGTAGTAGAGCACTTGCCTACATGCATGAGGATCTGGGTTCAATCCTCAGAACTGAAAAAGAAAAAGGAAAAGTGCAAATTTTGCAAGAAAAAGAAATCCCAGCTGGTGGCTCATGCCTGTAATCCTAGCTATTCAGGAGGCTGTAAGGTTCAAAGCCAGTTCAAAGCCAGCCTGGGCAGGAAAGTCCATGAGACAACCATAAAACCAGAAGTGGCAGGGGCTGGGAAGGTGGCTCAGTGGTAGAGCGCTTGCCTTGCATGCATGAGGCCCTGGGTTCGATTCCTCAGCACCACATAAGCAAAAAGAAAAAAGCCGGAAGTGGTGCTGTGGCTCAAGTAGTAGAGTTCTAGCCTTGAGCTGAAGAGCTGAGGGACAGCGCCCAGGCCCAGAGTTCAGGCCCCACGACCAGACCCCCCCCCCCCCCCAAAAAAAAAAAAAACCAGAAGTGGCGCTGTAGCTCAAAGTGGTAGACAGCCTTGAGCAAAAGAGCTCAGGGAACACTATGTTAAAGATGAACTTTACAACATGGGGGAGGGAGGAGTCAGGGAGATGGGGAGGGAAGGGATGGCATGGCAAAAACAAAGAGGAAGTAACAATGCTCGCTAGGAAATGTACTCATTACCTTACTCATGTAACTGTAACCCCTCTGTATGGTATCTTTACAATTAAAAAATATACAAAAAAAAAAAAAAAAAGAGCTCAGGGACAGCGCCAAGGCCCTGAGTTCAAGCCCGATGACTGACAAAAAAAAAATCTCAGATCAGATCAGCTTTTAACATTATCTGTACCTACTCATGGGAGCTTCTTTCCCAGCTGTGCTAACCAGTCCCAAGACAGCCTAGGGCTGAGGGCCTACAGTAGTATACACTGCAAGGATGGAGCTGGTGGCCTTGTTTCACCCAGTAGACACTAAGAAGCACAGGGCTGGAGACATGGACAATTGCGTGGTCTAAGCATCTTCTCACCATGGCACCCCATGCACACCATTAGAAAAATACTGCTCTTACCGTGTGTTCCCAAGGCACAGGTGCACATCTGTTAGCTGACAGCACTCTCAGAGTGTTCAATTATCCATTCAATGGCAGCCCACCCCTGCAACAACACAAGATTTCAGCACTGTGACATTTTCTGCTTGTCACTAACATGGCAAGCTATGGGCCTGTGATTTAGACTGCAGTGACCTCTCCAAGCTCAAAAATAAGGTGGGCTAGGCATTGATGGCTCATACAAACAATTCTAAGGAAGCCAAGCTACTCAGGAGGCTGAGATCTGAGGATCAAGATTCTAAGGCAACCTGAGCAGAAGAAAAAAAATCTATGAGACTCTTATCTCAAATTAAGTGTCAAAAAGCCAGAAGGGGAGCTATGGCTTAGATGGTAGAGTGCTAGTCTTGAGTGATAAAGCTAAGGACAGCACCTAGGCCTTGAATTCAAGCCCCAGTACCAGCACCATTAAATGAGAGAAGGGAGGGAAGGAGGGAAAGAGAGAAAAAGAGGAGAGAGAGAGAGAGAGAGACTCTAGAACCTAATATTAGCTACTACTGAGTTAGCAAATCAATGTACCTGGTGTGTGCAGCCCCACAGCTAAAATAGCACAAGCTCATCCAGGAGAGGCCTGTATGACCCTGATGTCCCCAAATCCCAGTGCCAAGGCTGCCACATGGAGGCATCCACCTCTATTTCCCACATGGCCACTAGTCCTCTCCAGAGGAAGATGGCCACAAAGATGGCTCCTCTCACTTGCCAGGCACAGACAGCAATTCGGTCAGAGGCCTTCAACACAGCAATTGCTCATGAGTGAAATCAAAGAAGCCAACTTGGCTCCAGTGGATTTACCCAAGACTTTCCTTATGAAAGGTCTCAAGTGGCTTTAGCCTCCCTATAATATCTTATTTCAGCAAATACTTTGGGACTCTGTCGGTGGGGAAACAACAACATGCGTCCAGCCCTGGCCCAGGGAGCTTTCTTACAGCAAAGCCCTGTGTTAGGCCCTTGTGGCCCTGAGCAAAACTACTGCATGTTATTTCTCAAATCTGGAGTTTTCTGAAAGCTAGATAGACTGACCCTTACTAAATGTAAGCCATATGTGGCTTTCTAATCATCATGGGTTTTTTTTTTTTGGCGGGGGGGGGGGGGGGGGGGTCGTGTTTTACTGGTACTGAGGCTTGAACTCAGGGCCTTAGTGCTTTTAGCTTTTTTGCTTAAGGCTAGCACTCAGTGCTTTTAGCTTTTTTTGTTTAAGGCTAGCACGCCACTTCTGGCTTTTTGCTGGTCAACTGGAGTTGGAATCTCATTGTCTTTTCTGCCTGGTATGGCTTTGAACATCAGTCCTCAGATCTCAGCCTCCTGAGAAAGCTGGCATTACAAGTGTGAGCCACCAGCACCTGGCTATATTGGTGTTTTAAGCACAAGATGAAAGGAAGGACAGTCCTAGGTATCACCCCACCATCTCAAAAATGCAGATGGATGAGCCAGGGTTGGGAAGGACAAACAAGGGCAGGATGTAAGCCCCTAAGGAGAGCTGAGATGAAGAGCTAAGGTCCTCCTCTGAAAAGGAGATTCACCTTGAACTTGAGACCTTCTTTCCAGACATTCCAGCTCTTTCCTTCAACCTGCTGGAGGGGAACATGGCTAGATGGTCTGAGCAATTTCTACCGCTTTTCCTAAAGGGAGAACCAAGGATACCCTCCAGCTCATTCCTAGCCAGGCACCAGTGACTCACATCTATAACCCTAGCTACTCAAGAGGTTGAGATCTGAGCCAGCAAGGCAGGAAAAGTCTATGAGACTCTGATCTCCAAATAACCAGCGAAAAGCCAGAATTGGAGATATGTGTGGCTCAGGTGGTAGAGTACTAGCCTTGAACAAAAAAGCTAAGGACAGTGCCCAGTCCCGGAGTTCAAAGGTCTAGTATCAGCAAACACACATGCACACATGCACATGCATACAAACTCATTCTCAGAAAGAGATGTGATGTTGGCAGCTGACTCCGGGGAGGCTCAAACTTGAGGGTCCGGCCAAAGGCACTTTATGACTACTACCCAGGAAACAGCTACAAGCCTGAATACCTTGTCTACAGTGCTAAAGCTGTTTGCTTGCACTGTGCCCTCAATTTGAACCTCTCTGAAGTACTGGTTCCTTGTTTACACTCTAGATTCACCCTACACTTTCCCAACTAAGGAGAGGAGCTCCACAGCTCCCTTGGCATGGCAGGCGCTGTTCCCCTCAGATCCTGGCCAGTCTTTTCTAAACCACCTATCTGGAGGGCAAGTACAGGAAATGCGATGAAGAAGAGCCCAGTACCCCAAAGGCCTCCTGGCACCAAACCTGACATCACTTGTACACTAACACGCAGGGCCTGGCACGGAGGGACATACCTTCCTTGCATTGCATGATATCGTGTTGGCCACTAGACTTTCCAGGTAGCTCCCAAGGCTGATCCCCTTCACTGTGATGATGGCTTCCTGGGTAAGCACAGTCCTGCAGAACAGGCAAGAGTCAAGAGGCTGACCAGCCCTGAGAGAAGGGGTCTCCAGTCCACCCAGCCTTGCCCTGGCTGTTAATGTATCCCAACCAAGGTGAGACCACTCACTTTTCAGGGTTCTCAGGATGAGGGGTATACACCAACCTCTCGTTCACTGACACCAGATTTGTGAGTGTGATCTTGAAAAAACAAAAAGCAAAAACAAACATTGGTTTGGGATTCTATTTCTCGCATTTCTCCCCAAACCATCTGCCCATATTCTTCCAAACCCAAAATAGCACAGGAGACTTGAGAGCTTGTTTGGAGGTTCTAGCAGGGGAGTGCAGCTACTCGTATGCCCTTGACCAAAGACCAGTCCTCCTCTATCGAGGATGGTGGTCCTTTTCGATCGAGCGCGCAGCTTTGGGAGGGACGCACAGCCAGATCAGCTGAATCAACCCTGGCGATCAATGGGGTAACAGATGTCACAGACAGATCACCCTTACATCCCACAGGAGACTTTTAGGTACCCAAGGCTCCCATCACGCTGTGTCTGAGGACACCACATTTAGTTGTTACTTCTGGTAATAATCTGTTTCTTTTGTCACGCCCCACACTGAGCAAGGTTCTGGCCTTCAGGGAACCTGCACAACACCAAAGCCACCAACAGCTGTAGGACAGGACGAGGCCTCTGTTGGTATCCAAGTGAGCCTGAATTAGAGCCTGGCACTGCGGATGCAGTGGGATGGGACAGACCCCAGGACCCACACAGATGATAGAGCCAAGACTCAAGTTCTACTTCCCCTAAACTATCCAACTTCCTGTCTGCTTTATGTTTTCTGTTAAAACTTGGAGCTCCAGCTCATGCCTGTAATTCTAGCTATGTAGGAGGCTAAGACCTAAGGATTAAGGTTCAAAGCCAGCCTGGGCAGGAAAGTCTCCACCAAAAAGCCAGAAGTGGAGCTTTTGTTCAAGTGGTAGAACATCAGCTTGGAGTATAATAAGCTAAGGGACAGTACCCAGGCTCTGAGTTTAAACCTCAGTATACACACACACACACACACACACACACACACACACACACACAATCACACATCAAAACCAAAAAGAAACCTGGAGCTCCAGAACAAGACTGAGCCTGGAATCTTCTGTGGTAATTTGATCCTGTGTCTGCACTGTCTGCAATATAGGAACTTAAGAACTAAAATTTTGACATTTTATTTAATCCTAATTAATTTAAATGTCAATGGCCACATGTGGCCGTTTGAAGTATGGAAGTACTTCAAAATGAAGCTCTAGAATTGCAGCACTGTTTCATATGATGTACCTTATCCTCTGAGAACCTATTCCAACACAAGATCATTAAAATTAAAAAAAAAAAGTCTAGGGCTGGGAAGGTAGCTCAGTGGTAGAGTGCTTGCCTAGCATGCATGAAGCCCTGGGTTCGATTCCTCAGCACCACATACACAGAAAAAGCCAGGAGTGGTGCTGTGGCTTAAGTAGTAGAGTGCTAGTCTTGAGCCAAAGAAGCTCAGGGGCAGTACCCAGGCCCTGAGTTCAAGCCCCAAGACCAGCAAAAAAAAAAAAAGTCCAGAGCAAAATCAGCTTTCAGTGGTAGCAAAAGCACTTCTGCTTTATAACAATCTCTCACCATCAACCTGCCTATCCTTGCCATCCGGATGAAAGTAGTGAGTAGGGAACCTTTCTTCCAACTGTGCACAGGGTTACCCAAAGAGTTTCACAGCTGGGCACTGCTAGCTCATGCCTGTAATCCTAGCTACTCAAGAGACTGAGATCTGAGGATCCAGGTTTGAAGGCAGCCTGGGCAGACAAATCTAAGAGACTCTAATCTCAGTTAAACAGCAAAAATCTGGAAATGGAGGTGTGACTCAAGTTGTAGAGTTCCAGCATTAGGTGAAAAGCGGCCCTATCTGAGAGCAATCTGGAGCCTCGTTGTCCAGCAGCCAAGCACACACAGTGCTTCCTTCTGTAAAAGTGCTGCCAGCTTTCAATGGGAATAGAAGAACAGTAGAGGTGACAGGCTTTGAGCTAGTGGTCCCCACAGCCTCCTAAAAGTCCAAATGTACTGGGGATATTCTTAAGGGACAGAGGAGAAACTGCAAGTACCAGAGCAGCACCCTTGTTTGTTTCAAACATGGGCTCCCAGAAAATGCTGAGAAGATTGGGAACTTTCCTGGTATCTCCACTATTTTCTGGGCCTGCCACCCTGTCCCTCCTGAGTACTGCCCCTGTCTGCTCCAGCCACCAGACTCTGCCTGCCCTGGCTTAGTTGTGCTAATGCGTGAGAGGCCTGCTAGTCTGAATGGGAAACCCCAGTCTTCTTGTTAGTTTCTGTCTGTGGTTCTCTCCCAGCCCTGACAGTTTACATGCCTCCACTGGCACAGGCTGGCTTGATGTCTATCCATGACACGATACCCAGAGAGAACAGGAGCTTTTCTTAGTCCTGTATTCCCTATAGCAGCTCAAGGTCTGCACATGATGAGTGCATGACACTATTGGTAAGACCAATAAACAATGTCATGATGTGGAGAACAAGGCAGGTAGGCCAGAAGAGGGGATCTGTGAGGAAGGAAAGCTACCTTGTACAGGTACCATGTTAGAATTTCACCTGGAGACCCATTTCTAAGTTTGCTGAAAGTAATATTTTTATGTGTGTGTGCTGATACTTAGGGTTTGAACTCAGAGCCTTGTACTCTTGCGTAGCCTTTTTTACTCAAGGCTGGTGCTCTATTACTTGAATCACAGCTCCACTTCAGGCTTTTTACTGGTTAATTGGAGACAGTCTCAAGGATTTGTCTGCCTGGGCTGGCTTTGAACTTCAATCCTCAGATCTCAGCCACCTGAGTAGCTAGGATTACAGACAAACACCATGGACATCCAGCTTGTGAGTAATACTTCATGAAATAAACCATGTCCCAAGAGGCTGCAAGTTTAGCTCCATGGTGGAATGCTTGCCTAGCACATGCAAGACCCTAGGTTTTATCCATAGCACAAAAATAAACCCCATTTTTCTAGTCTAGGCACTTCTTACCATATACTCTTTGTATCTGCATTAGACTAACACATTTTCTTTCTTTCTTTCCTTCCTTCCTTCCTTTCTTTCTTTCTTTCTTTTTGGAAGTACTGGGAATTAAACCCAGGGACCTAGCCAGTGCTCAGCAAGCAGTCTGCCACTAAACTCTATATATACATATTACACATACATATACACATACATACATATATACATACATGCTCATGTAGACATTATATGTACACACATATATATCACATATACATATACCATTTACCACTATGCTTTATATATGCATCTGATATATATTTATTTAAATTAAGAGATATGCAAGAAAAAGGGAGTGGTAAATGGCTTTAAAAATGGTCATAGGCTGGGTATGGTGGAACATGGCAGTAGTCCCAGCTGAGATGCTGGGACTAAGGAGGCTGAGGAAGGAGGTACATGGACCAGCCTGGGTGCCCTGTGTGACCCTTGCCAACAAATAAATAAATAAATAATACCAACATTCATCTTTATGGTTGGGACAGTGGTTAGATGCATCAAGAGGCTGCTCACCACTGCTTACACGGTATATTCGCTTTGTAACAATTCATCCTTATGTGCATTTTTGTTTCATTGCTTCTTTTTCTACTGACATAAAAACTGTACTTATCTATGAGAGATGGCAATGTTTCAATACATGTATAACTGAATGATGTTCAAATAAGGATAAAGGGTTTTCAAACTTATGTCTATGGGGAAAACATTCAAAACCTTTTTTTGTAATTTTTGCCAGTACTGAGGCTTGAATTCAGGACCTGGGCACTTCCTCTTAGCTTTACCACTTGAGTCACACCTCCACTTCCACCTTTCTGCTGGTTAACTGGAGCTAAGAGTCTCACAGACTCTTGTCCAAGTTGGCTTTGTGCCACGATCCTTAGATCTCAGCCTCCTGAGTAGCTAGGACTACAGACAGGCCACCAGTGGCCTGTCTCTTCTAGTTCTTTCAATACACAATAGGGTATCATTATCGATGGTCACCAGCTACACAATAGGACAGCACAACTTAGTTATTCATCTGAATTGTCTCCACTTATTATACTTGGAGAAAAACACAAAATACCACTAAATAAATTCACTTTTCCTAATAAAAATAATCCATCAGTTAAGACCAGAGGCAGGCTGAAGATAAACTCAATGAAGCTATTATTCATGTGTCAGCACCTTTTCCAGCTTAGGCCATTGCTTACATTGGTGGAACAAAGCTCCATTTTCTTTTCTGCAGGGTCCACAACAGAGCGCTCTTCGACGTATGTCGAAGTCCTACTGGTTCCCAAAATCTAAAACACAAAACAAAACTTGCATAATAGCATGTTATAAATTCTACTTACTCCCCTCTGTACAGTATTTTCACAATAAAAAAATAAAAATAAAAATAAAAATAAAAAATTTCGACTGATGAGGAGATAAAAAAAATTCCACTTACTAATGAATTCACTTAGTCAACAAGTGCTGTGAAGATGGGGTGAAGAAATGGACAGAAGAGAAAAAAGTCTACCCAGCATACCCCACTCCCTTGGGTGACAGACACAGGAAAAAAAAAAGATCAAAATCAAACAGGGTGAAAGGTGAGGCTCCTGAGGTGTGGCCAGGAGCACCCCATGGGAGGGATGAGTCAGACTACATCCTGTCCAGGCCCTGATTCAGGACCTGTGAGTGAGCTCCAGGTATAAGGAAGGGCAGGCCAGAGTGGTCAGATGAGAGCAGATAGGCCTCACCGGGAGAAACATTGAGAAGGGAGTAAAGGGTATGAGGGATGCAGGGGGGGATAGACACAGGGAGGCAGGGGGCAGGGGGAGCACTGGATACAGGGGAGGGCTGCAGAGAGGGGGCACAAGGAGAAGGGAGGGTAAGGTATGGGGTGCTCACCGCTCGTGCGAGCATGGGCAACCCCCACTCAGTGCTGAGCAGGCGCAAGCTGTGCAGGCGCCCGCTTCCATCCACACCGCGCTCCAGCACGTCCACACCCACCACACAAGGGTTCATGGGGTTCGGGTACTTCCGCATGGCTGCCTTGATGACCGTGTCCCATGGGTGGCTGGTGAGAGGAACAACATCCACAATCAGATGCTTTGAGGACAGGAAGATTCCATCTCCTCCCTGGCCCTTTGTCCTTCCCGCACCTCCCCTGTCCACAGGACACAGAACCATTCTGTGGGGGCTTCTTGGCAGGAAGGCCTTGGTCCTCATCTCTGGTGCAGGGCCCTGTGCCTCATGGGAAACCAACATGCCTGCATGTGTCAAGCCTCTGCCAGGCCTCCTGCTGGGAGCACTGGCTGGACCCTGACTTCCTGCTGGCTGTCCTACTTGACCACCTGATGCCACCTATACAAGAAGATGGCTTCTCCCAGCTACTCAGTACGATGGAGAATCAGCTGCATACCATCCTCCATTACCAAGATTTAAGATCTTTCTACTTTATGGTGGTGCAAATGTATAATCTACAGTCATCCTGCTTTTCACGTTCAGTACAGGATTCAGTAAATAACCAAGATAGGCCATGTTTATGGAATCAGATATCTATTATAAATGGGCTTTGCAACCAGGCACTGGTAGCCCTGTGCCTATAATCCTAGCTGCTCAAGAGGCTGAGAGCTGAGAATCCCAGCTTGACTCTAGCCAGGGCATCTCAAGGACTCTTATCTCCAATTAACTAGCAAAAAGCCAGAAGTGGGGTTGTGGCTCACGTGGTAGAGCTAGTAGGAATTCAAGGACTGGAGTTGGAGCCCCAGTACCTGCAAAAAAAAGGGAGGGAGCTTGTGTTCAAGGGTTTACACAAATGCAGGCTAATGCTACTTCTGAGCTCATCTAAGGTGTACCAGGCCAGCTGTGCCAGGCCAGCTGTAGAGGTCTGTATGGTTACATACACTGATGCATTTTCACTGATCACATTCTCCACCTGCTTGGGGTTTATCAGGATGTGACTCTATTGAAAGTTGAAGAGCACCTATGCTTTGTTCAGTCTTCTAACTGGTGCATGATAGAAGCAGTTCGAAATTTAAAGTATCTCCACTCTCCAAAGACAACCACTAATCATAATTCCATCAACCACGCTTCTTCCATCCATACAAACATCTTGATTTCTTCAGGACCCACCTGTCTAGGACAGTGAGACTGCAGGAACAGAGATGGTGTAGGTGTCACCAGCTCACCACAATCAATGACCCTTCTAGACTTCCAGCCCTACATCCCCAGATCCTGTGAGAGTCCCTGAGGGTCCGGGAATTCTTCCCCAGTAACCCTGCAGGACACAATTTCTAGCCCTTAACCCTGGGCTAAGTGGGTGAACACCTTTTCTCCTAGTTCATCTCCTGTCCATGCCAGTCATACAGTTGCCCATTGCTTTCAACAAACAGTCTTTCCTCCCTCAGGACGCTCTGCTCCAGAAGCCACTGAGCTCCTACATAGACACATCTACCAGGCACCCATGGCTCACAATTGTTAATACTATTTACTCAGGAAACTGAGATCCGAGGATCATGGTTCAAAGGTTTTCCAGACAGGGAGTTTGAGAGGCTCTTAATCTCCAAGGAACCAGAAAAAAGCCAATGTGGAACTGTGGTTCAGATGGTAGAGAGTGCTCAGAGATAGTACCCAGGCCCTGAGTTCTACATTGTCACTGCCAAATTTAGGCAGACTAGAAATGATTGGAGATAATTCTCAAAAGTCCCACTGCACACTGAGAAAACAGTAACATCTGAATCCTGTCCCAAAAAGGAAGGGGGCCTGGGAAGGCTCCAATATACACCTGTGTCTTTGTATGTGCTCCACCCATGTTAAAGCTCTTCATGGCACAATCCAAGGAAGGTGGAGGGTGAACTCCACTTGCATGCTAAGGGGTGGAAAGGAACACAAAAAGGCCCTCATTGACCACAGCCAAAGTGCCAGTACTCTGCAGGAGAAAATTCTGTGCTGTCTAAAATTCGCCTGAACTCACCCAGGAAAAAGGACTCAGGGGAAACCAACTAAAGACATCCTAGACTCTCAGCTCTCCATTTTTTTTTGGGGGGGGGGGTCCAGTCGTGGGGCTTGAACTCTGGGCCTGGGCGCTGTCCCTCAGCTCTTCAGCTCAAGGCTAGTGCTCTACTACTTGAGCCACAGTGCCACTTCCGGCTTTTTTTTTTGCTTATGTGGTGCTGATGAATCGAACCCAAGGCCTCAGGCATGCAAGGCAAGCGCTCTACCACTGAGCCACCTTCCCAGCCCACCCATCAGCTCTCTAAGATTTTCATTATAGAAAGTTTTGTTTTGAAGCACCTGCAGCTCACTTCTTTAATCCTCGCTACTCAGGAGGCTGAGACCTGAGAAATCAAGGTTTGAAGCCAACCCATGCAGGAAAGTCCGTGAGACTCTTATCTACAATTAACCACAAAAAGCTAGAAGTGAAGAAGTGGCTCAAGTAGTAGAGTTCCAGCCTTGAGTGGAAAAGCTAAGGGACAGTGCCCAAGTTCAAGCCCCAGTAATAGCACAAAAAAGTTTTGTTTTGTTAAAGTAGGCAGCCACAGATAAAAGGTTCAACTATATCCTACCTCTAGTGGCCCTTAGAGAATGAAGTGCAGGGGACAATGGATTCTTTTAGATGGTAACTATCACAGTGCTAGCAAGACATTACTGGCCCTTCTCCAGTATCCATATTTACATTGATGCAGCAAAGTAATGGAGAGAAAGTTCTGGAACCTCCCCAGCAGCGAAGGCCAGATTCCAAACCTCAGCCTGGTCACTATTCCTCACCAATGCAGAGTGTCTTACACAAGGAGAGTGTGGAGTGTGGTGGACTCTCTTAGGACTGCGATGAAATGATAAGATGATTAATTTAGTACCACTTGACCTCTGAGCACTTTTGTCTTTGCTATTTTCTGCCAGGACAGGAAGTGCGCCAAAAACACCTCGTCAGCAGAACAAGTTCCCTGGCTATCTGTGGGCAATGGACCACTGCTCAGGTTGCTGGTCCAACTCACTGCTGTCTCCACCAGCTAGCACCTGATACTTGGAAGACCAGCACACTAACTGCTGTTCTAACTTGGGGATATAGCAGACATTTGCTGGACAATTCATGACATGAGCCTGTCGATTTGAAGTAAACAACTGGTAGTATTTGTTGCTAAAGATCAAATCTGAGCTTTCAAGTGAAAACTGGAATTTTAGAAAACTTGTACTCATTGCACAATTATGACAACTACCCCATACAGCAGAGTAGACATGGGGCTCCAAACAGGCAGTACAAGATGCCACTACTCACCTCTAAAGAGCACTCACCAAAATCAATAGGTTTGAATGCAGAGCTAGTTTTTCTCTTCGTTTTACATTGCAATTCATTTTTAATAAGCTATCGGTGTTTGTTTTTTTTAACACAATAATGATACTTATGACAGTAAAATATTTCTACTTTTCCAATTACATACCTGTAGGCTGGGAAGGTGGCTCAGTGGTAGAGCGCTTGCCTTGCATGCCTGAGGCCCTAGGTTCAATTCCTCAGCACCACATAAGCAAAAAGAAAAAAGCCGGAAGTGGCGCTGTGGCTCAAATGGTAAAGCGCTAGCCTTGAGCTGAAGAGCTGAGGGACAGCGCCCAGGCCCAGAGTTCAGGCCCCATGACCGGACCCAAAAAAAACAAAATCAATTACATACCTGCATGAGGCTAGGTTTATCCAGACAACATACAGCCAAACAGGGGCTGTCCAGGCAGAGAGTGGAATCTCCTTCTATAGACCACAGACACAACAGACATTATTTTCAAAGGGCCAATCTTCAACTGGGTGCTGTGGCTCAACCCTGTAATCCTAGATACTCAGGAGGCTGAGATCTGAGGATCACAGTTCAAAGCTAGCCTGGGTAGAAAAGTCCATGAGACTCCTGTACATCTTCAATTAACCACCAAAAAGTTAAACTTAGGGCTGTGGCTCAAGTGGTAGAGCACCAGTCTTCAGCAAAAAAGCTAAGGGACAGTGCATAGTCCCTGGCTTCAAGTCCCAGTACCAATATGCACGGGCATGCGAGCGCGCCGTGCGCGTGAACGCGCACACACACACACACACACACACACACACACACACACAGGGGCCATTTTCTGTCTAATTTTGGAAAACCGATTTTATTTTAAAATATGAGGTATGGGGGGGGCGGGGAAGATTGGGTGGGGGAGTGGGGGGGGAGGATGGGAAGGGATGGGAAGGAGAAACAAAGGAGGAGGCTACAATGCTTGATAAGAAATGTACTCATTATCTTGCCCATGTAATTGTAACCCCTCTGTACAGTATTTTCACAATAAAAAAAAGAAAAAGAAAAAAATAAATAAAATATGAGGTACATAGACTAGGCTTATTATTCATTGTAATGATACAATAAATATTTTTGGGTGTGGCTCAAGTGGTAAAGGACCTACCTAACAAGTGTGAGGCTTTGAGTTCATACATTGTACTACAAAAGAAAATATTTTAATTTTTAACTGTAACTTCTAATATTATTTATCTACTTATATATTTGAAACAGGATCTCCCTAAGTAGCCTATGCTGGCCTTAAACTCATAGTCCCCTACCTCGGCCTCCCAAGTGCTGGGCTGTAATCACATCTGGCTCTAATATGATAGATATAATCAACACAGACAAAAACTATTTGGGTCCTCAATATTTTCCAAGAGCTGAGCAACTTAATATCTGCTGGTCTAATTGGCTTCTTGTGTTAGTTAGCCAGAGATAAAATATACCCATCAAAGATACACCCTTACTGTCCACTACCTCCAACCAGGCTCCGCCTTCCCAAATTCCACCCCCTATCAATGGTCTTTTTAAATTCTGAATCCATGAATGGGTCAAACCATTGGTTAGGCAAGAGCCTTGGGGATCTAATATCTGGAAATGCCCTCACAGCATCCAGAGGTAGCTTTACTAATCTCCTAGCATCTCTCAATTCAATCAAGTTGACAATCAAGAATAATCATCACAGCCCTTACATGAAGCAGAAATATACACAGGGCTAACCACTACAATATGCTTGTAAGAAAAAGGACGTACTGTCTCCATTCACACAAAGGCCTATTACCCAGCTGGTATAATCCATCAATACCTGTACCTTTAGGTATCTATTTATGGACAGATCTCAAAAGCACACTACTGAGAAGATGCAAGATGATGTCACTGATTTCTATTTCAGAAAAGCAAACCAAATTACATGTTATATGTGGACACACAGGTGTCCATAAATGGAGTCCTGTGCACCTCTAGCACCTGAACCTTTGGAAAGATGCCCATCAAATTCGTCATCTTAGCTGCCTTTGGGTAGAGAAAAGGCACAGAATGTTAAGTGGGGGAGTGGCACTTCCACTCCTCCCTGTGATATTAATTCATCTCTCTTTCTTGCTCTTGGCCAGATGAGCTGGCACTAGGCCCATCTCCTCCCATAGCCCTACTTCCTTGAGTGGACATGACCTTCCAGCATGCTTCTTTTGGAAGGGCATTTGGTCTCCATGTGACCTATCTTTGCCCCTTTCTGAGCATTTACCATGTGTCAGGCGCTGCAGGGTGTCGGGGCAGAAAGCAAATTATTTAAGGAACCAAGTACCAACACATGCTAAAACATGGGTAACCACCCCTCCCAAAAATAATGATGCTAAACAAAATAAGCCAGACACAAAACGCCACATATTGTATGATTATATTTATATGAATATCTAGAAAAGGCAAATCAACAGAAAGGGAAAGCAGAATGAGGTTGGGGTAGAAGGCATGATAGGAGTGTTCAAACTATGCTGACATTCACAATCTACTAGAAACTAAAATTTTCTGTAAATATATCCACAATTGTACACTTTTAAACAGGTCACTTACATTATAGATAGTTGAGTGGCATATAACTTATTCTTCAATAAAGCTTAAATAATAAGTGGATTGTAGCTGCAAAAATTACCACAAGTGTTAACAGCTGGCTGGTACAATGGCTCACACTTGCAATCCCAGCCACTAGAGAAACAGAGATGGGAAAGACTGAGGTTAGAGGACCGATGCCATCACAACCAATACATCTGGGCAAGATGGATCAAACCTGTGGTACTAGCTACAAGGGAGGCTGTCAGTTGGAGGACTTCTATCTGAAGCCAGCCCTGCTCTAAAGTGCCAGAAGCCATATGAAAAGCAACTAAAGCAAAAAAAAAAAGGCTGGGTATATGACTTGAGCAACTCTCTGACTTCAAAATCCTGTACTTCAAAACAAAACAAAACAAAAAAACTGAAGTATCAGAAGTGACTTCACAGCCGATTATCATCAGCCAACACTTCACTGCTAATGCAGTTCTCAACTGGTCCTGGAGAAAACTGTGCCCCAGGACTCTGTATCCCTAAATTCACTGACTTTAAAACTTCTCTGCAGGCCGGGCGCCAGTGGCTCATGCCTGTAATCCTAGCTATTCAGAAGGCTGAAATCTGAGGATCACGGTTCAAAGCCAGCTTGGGCAGGAAAGTCCATGAAATTTATCTCCAATAAACCACCAGAAAACCTAAGTGGCGCCATCCTAAGTGGAGCTGTGGCTCAAGTGGTAGAGTGCTTGCCTTGAGTTGAAGAGCTCAGGGACAGCACCCAGGCCCAGAGTTCAAACCCCATGACTAACAACAACAACAACAAAAAACTCCACAGGCTGGGAATGTGGTAGAGTGCTTGCTTAGCATGCATTAAGCTCTGGGTTCCATTCCTCAGTACCACTTAAACAGAAAAAGCCAGAAGTGGCACTGTGGTTCAAGTGGTAGAGTGCTAGCCTTGAGTAAAAGAAGCTCAGGGACAGTGCCCAGGCCTTGAGTTCAAGCCCCAGGACTGGTGAAAACAAACAAAACAGTTTTCTGCACCCAGAAGGAATGAGCTATGTATTATTCCTAAGAGAACATCCTAGGAAAGCTACCAACTATAATAGATAAGACAGATAGATAGACAGACAGATAGACAGACAGACATAGATCTAATCAAGATTCCACAAAACACTCTGGGAGATTCTGAAACCAGCTGGTTAATTTTTATTATGATGTTCCATTTTAAAAAGTCAAAAGATTATGATCTGCATGAGGTGCAGAATTCCCACCCCCCCACCTCCCCACCCCCATCCCGCCCCAAGGAGTACAATCAGGGAATTTAAAATTCTTTGTTCTTTTACATTTCAAAGATATTAAGGAGTAAGTCGTGCGCTGGTGGCTCACACCTGTAATCCTAGCTACTCAGGAGGATGAGATCTGAGGATTTTGATTCTAACTAAGCCAGTTTGGGCAGGAAAGTCTGCAACACTCTTAACTCCACTTAATCACCAAAAGGCCTGAAGTGTGGTTGTGTCTCAAGTAGCAGAGCTCTAACCTTGTGCAAATAAGCTCAAGAAGTGCATCTAGTCCGAGTTCAAGCCCCAGGACCGGCGCACATGCACAGGTGTATACACTCTCTCTCTCTCTCTCTCTCTCTCTCTCTCTCTCTCTCTCTCTCTCTCTCTCTCTCTCTCTCTTCTTTTTTGTCAGTCGTGGGGCCCTGAACTCGACCTGAGCACTGACCCTCAACTCTTGAGCTCAAGGCTAGCACTCAACCACTTGAGCCATAACACCACTTCCAGCTTTTTCTGCTTATGTGGTGCTGAGGAACCGAACCCAGGGTCTCATGCATGCAAGGCAAGCACTCTACCACTGAGCCACCTTCCCAGCCTCCCCCCCACACCCCCCCCCACCCCCATTCTTAAAGAATGATTTCAGATCAGTGATTCTTTGGAAGATACCACTTAGGTCAGAAAGGCATGTTTAAGCTGCTCTCTGGGTTTTGGAGGCGTCCAGGCCTGCAAATGAGCTCAGTGACAAGGGCTCCCAAATGCCGTCTTCCCATCTCTCTTTCTTCAACTCAGGCCCTCTGGGGACCTCCAGGAATCATACTTCATGCTTGTTTAAGGCTCCTGCACAGCATAATCTCATCAAAAAGGGTAACTGCTTCTGCAAGGCCTCTCCCGGGCCTGGGACCCCCTCGCCTCACCGCGGAGCGTGCGCAGCAGCGCGGATCAGGCCTGCGTGGGACCCGGGCGAGTCCTGCGCGCGCACGGAGCCGCCGCCGCCGCCGCCCCCGCCCGCCGGACAGCCCCGCCAGCCCGCAGCCCCGCAGCCTCGCGGCCGCGCCCGACCCAGCAGCGGGCATGCTCCGCGGGTCTCCGCTTAGCAACAGCCCTCGAATGGGTAGCGCCAGTCTGTCTCCAGGATGCGGAGGCCGCAGTCTTCGGACGGCCCTTCCCGGTGGCGTAGGTGCAAATCCCACCGCAACCCGCAGCCTGCAGCCAGTCTCACCCGAACACGTGCTCCGAGCTCCAGATCTTCATCTCCTCAGTCACCCAAGGCAGCGCGCGGATTAGGCGTCCCGGACGCCGGCTGCTCTCCCAGCTGCTGCGCTCTGGGAGGGGCGGGGCGAGAGCGGGGAGGGGGCGTGGCGTGCGCGACACCGCCTCCTCTCCGGGATGCGGATGCTCCAGGCCGCTGGTGGTACCCAGCTGACCTGAGCCGCTGCAGTGGCGCGCGCGGACCTGACCGCGCCTGCTGCAAAGGCTGCAAATTCTCCCCAACCCCTTTCCTAACACCCGTGTTTCTACTGTTGGAGGAGTATGGTGGAAAACTTCCCTCCCCCACCCCCAAATAAAACCTCTCCACCAGAGTGAAGGAGAAAGAAGTCTGAGTGTTGCATAAACAAGAAACCCAAATGTGATGGGGTCGTACACAATCCGCTGAGGGGACTGTAAGGAAAGAAAGAAATCTCTCCCTTTTATGAGATGCTAGGAAGATGCTGTGCATTACATACACGTTCTCCACGTAAACAATGAATGCAGAGGGAGGGGACAATATTATATATTCTATTTTTAATTTTGATAAATCGTTGTTTACATAATGTGATTCGTTTTAGTATTTAAAATATATATTGAAGTATTATTTACAATGGCATTAGATAATACATGTTTCTGATATTAAAGAAACATATGTCATATGAAAATAGCATAACAAAACCCACAATTTGCGATTACAAGTTGTCTAAAGTAAATCCTCTAAGAAAAGGGAAGAGGAGCTGGGCGCCAGTGGCTCACGCCTGGAATCCTAGCTACTCAGGAGGCTGAGGTCAGAGGATCACAGTTCAAAGCCAGCCCGGGCAGGGAAGTGTGTGAGACTCTTCTTATCTCCAATTAACCACCAGAAAACCGGAAGTGGTGCTGTGGTTTAAGTGGTATTATACTAGCCTTGAGCTGAAGAGCTCAGCCACAGTTCCCAGGCCCAGAGGGAGAGGAGATTCTCCCTCCCTAGGGAAAAAAAAATCACTTTATCTTTAGATGTGTATTTACCATGAATTGTCAGTACTCTTGTCTATGAGAATGAATTCGTCAAAAATTGTTAAAGTGGAGGATAAAGGAGAGAATGAGGTAAATTTGATTAAAGTACACTGTATGCATGTTGGAATGATCAAAATAGAGCACCTTTGTACAATTAATTTATGCTAATAAGAAAATTATTAAACAACAATAAATCATCCTCCAGGAAGAGAACTGGACAACAGCATTAATCCCAGAGTATATCCTCAATTCACCTAGTGATTAGAATGGCTGATTGTTTACTAATTGCTTTTAGCTAAAGGAGAAATAAATTTATATCTTCAGGACAGGTGGCAGTTCTGCAAACTGAAGTCTGGCACTTCCTGGAATATTGGGTTCCAACCTCTCCCAACCCTGGGAGATGGGATTGCTGGTTTTTTTTTGGTTGTTGTTTTATTAGTAAGTTTTTCTGTTGTGAAAATGCCATACAGAGGGGTTTCAATTACATGAGCAAGGTAATGAGTACATTTCTTATCAAGCATTGTTGCCTCCTCCTTTTTTTCCCCTTACCATCCCTGCTCTCTCAGGCCCCCCCCCCCTTGTAAAGTTCATTTTTCGACAAAACGTCTGTACATCTCATTGTTGCAATGGGTCCACCTGTATCCCTATTTAAACAATTTGTTTTTTCCCTTCCCCTCCACATTTTATACCAACATCAAATACAGTGAAAACAGGGGTTATACTGTGGGGAGGGACATACAAAGCAATAAAGAAATCATCTTATAAATATGTTAGAAACAATAGAAAGAAAGAAAAAATATTTGAGTCCTTATCTTGGGGTTCATTTCACCTAACATCAACTCATCTGACCATTTCTGCGTGTCTCAGACATTTATACTAATTATTGCAAATAAGGGAAACCATGGGACCCATGTTTCTTTGGGCCTGGCTTACTTCACTTAATATAATTTTTTCCAAGTCTTTCCATTTCCTAACAAATGGGGCAATGACATTCTTTCTGATGGAGGCACAGAATTCCATTGTGTATATATGCCACATTTTCTTGATCCATTCATCTTCTGAGGGGCATCTAGGTTGGTTCCGTATCTTAGCTATGGTAAATAATGCTGCAATAAACATAGTTGTGCTGGTAGCTTTAGTATGGTATTGTTTGTGATCATTCAGGTATGCAGGAGACCACTGTAAAACTTTTCCTAAAGCTATCATTTGCTAGAGTTATTGCTTAACCACAAAGCCAATTGTCAGCTCATAACATATCGATTAAGGAATTTTGTAACAAACCTCCCTGTGGCTTAGATTGATGGTAAAGATAGATACTGATCCTTTACTTACCCCACCCACCTGCATTCCATTTTTTTTTTTTGTAAAAAACTGTGTTACCAATATGTTGCAACCACTTCCTCATTTATTTATAGTATATACGCCTGCTTGTAAGTTCAATAAACAGACCTTGATCAGAACCCTGTCTTGGTCTCCTTGCTCGTGTCTGGTTTGTCTCTCATTCAGGTCAGTTCCTCTTCGAGCCCTTGTTGACCGACCCCGCGGGCCGGAGCAGGTGGCGCCCAACGTGGGGCTCGAAGCACGGTCTGAATGTCGCTCGACTGAGCGGCTGCTCTCTTCTTCTTGGATCGCCACCCAGCCGGTGAGTGTCATGATCACCGCAGAAACGCCCAACTGCGATACAGATCCGTCAGGTAAGGGAGGCGACTGCAATTATGGGACAAACACTTAGTAAGCATCAACTTTTTGTTCAAGGCCTAAAGGCCTCACTCAAAGCACGAGGAACACGGGTTAAGAAAAAAGATTTAACTCAATTTTTTATGCTCCTGGAGGATATTTGCCCTTGGTTTCCTCAGGAGGGTCGTGTTGGAGACTGTCTTAAGGATTTTTATGAAACTTTTGGCCCTGAAAAGATTCCTGTTCAGGCTTTTTCATATTGGAACCTCATAAATGAGATCCTTCAAGTTCGCCACCAACACAAAGATGTGTCTAGAGTGGTTAAGGAAGGTGAAGAATTTTTAAAACATAAATTTACAGGGAGTCAGGCCTCCCTTGCCCAAAGACCCCTCTCCCGTCCCCCCTCAGTCGCGTCTCATTGTCCCTTGGTTTCCATACCGATGCCTGATGCTAACAGCGACTCACAATTACAAAAACCAAAATCTATATACCTGGTTCTTTCTAATCTCAGATCCGAAAAGCCCAATGATGATGTCCTTCCCCTGGAGGACGAGGCCACTTTGGAAGAGGAGGCTGCTACATACCACGCCTCAGATTGGCCCCCTCTAAACCCCTTGGGCACACAACCTCCTCCCTATAAAATAGCCCCTCCCTTCTGTGCCCCAGCCTTGGTCTCTTCAACAGACCTTGAGGAGGTCACCAGACAAGCCACAGTTAAGCTTTCCCGGGAAGCCCAGTCCTTAAGGGCCCTACTTCAGGCCAAGAAGGAAAAGGCCTAACTATTACAACAACTATATAAATTGGACCTAGAAATTAGGAACCCAAACTTACAAAAATTAATGACAAAAAAGAAAAAGATCCTTCATGCTTTTCCAGTCACTCGGTCTCAAATTAGAGCCACTTTGGAAAATCTAGAAGGAGAATCTGATGATCAAGAGATTGAGGCGGAGGACAGAGAGGAAGAGCCGGAGGGAAGGCCCAAGTCTGATGACTCAAATGGGGAGAAGGAAGGAGGAGAGCATCTGGTTATTAGAGCTCAAAAATACCATCACCTTAAATTTAGACATATTAAAGAATTAAAAAGTGCTGTTTCCTTGTACGGTCCTACCGCCCCTTATACCATTTCTCTTTTGGAATCATTGAGCGAGGACTGGCTTACAGTAAATGACTGGGCCATGCTAACCAAGGCTACTTTAACATGAGGCAATTTTCTTTTATGGAAGGCTGATTATGGCGAAAGATGCCAGGATATAGCTCGCCGTAACACATCTGCTGGCAGTCACTCTAAGTCCTGGACCATAGAAAAATTGATGGGTAACAAGCCATTTGATACTAATGAAAAACAGGCTAAATTTCCCCCAGGATTGCTTGTTCAGATTCAACACGCTGCCCTTAAGGGCTGGAAAAGCCCCCCTTCTCAAGGGTCCGCCGTTACCTCTTTGGCCAAAGTTCAACAGGGACTCCATGAATCTTAGTGAGTTCATTGGACGCCTTACAGAGGCTGCCGAGCGCCTTATGGGAAAGGAAGAAACTGATAATGAGCTTATTAAACATCTTGCTTTTGAAAATGCCAGTTCTGCTTGCCAAGCAGCTTTATGTTCCCACCGCAGTGGCAAAACCATTACTGACTTTATCAGACTTTGCTCTGATGTTGACCCCGACTCGCGTAACATTGGCTTGGCTATAGGTGCCGCCCTTAAGGATTTTACCCAGAACTAAAAACCTTATTTTATCCCTTATTAATCAAACCTTTCTTACTATTAACAATAGCAATCCACAATTAGTAGAATCTTGCTGGCTCTGCTATCATTCCTCCCCTCCATTCTATGAGGGTATAGCTGTACTTGGCCACATTTATGATGTCGATGACCCCCGCCCAACGTGGCTGGACCCAACAACCTTTCAACAAAGTGACAATAGCCCAAGTTATGGGACTTGGACTTTGCATTTTCAGTAATGGCAGTTTTATCCCCCCAGAATATAAACCTTTATGTAATCAGACCTATTCTTTTACTTCGACTCACAAATATCTACTCCCCTCAAATGATACATGGTGGGCCTGCAGAGATGGCCTTACCTCCTGTGTGTATACTGCTTTAATTTTACCAGAACCCATATTCTGCATCATGGTACAGGTTGTGCCACGGTTAACTTACTATTCTCAAGATCAATTTACAGGACTTTGGGAGACCGACATAAGAGCTTTACCTGGACGGAAAAGAACCTGCTACTGCTGTAACCCTTGCTGTCTTACTGGGATTAGGCATCGCTGGAGCAGGAACCCGAGTACCCTCCCTCGTCCTCTCTAATCAACATTACTCTGAACTCCGGTCTACA